TATGCCGCTGTTGCTTCTTCCCAACATATAGCTATCACTTATAAACTTCACTCCTCAACTCCTTTACTTGAACCTCTACCTTCGCAGTCTACCTTCCGTTATCACACCAGCCAGCGCAGCGACTGGACTGGATTTAAAGATGCCCTCGCGTCTGCTTTGCAAAACTCTGGTCTGGTGGATGGCAGTTTATCCAACCTCTCGGCCTTCGATCTTGATAACGTGGTACTTAGGCTTACGACCGCTGTCAATCAGGCAGCTGCTTCTGCTTTTTCCGTTCGGGGTAGGGGCCTTCCCCGACCAACTGCTCCTTTTTGGTCCCCGCATCTCGAAGAGGACAAGAAAGCGGTCGCTCGGCTGCGAAGAGAAATACATCGAGCTAGGCAGCTTAACCTATCGAATGATCACATACAGTCGTTAACCATTGAATTTCGACAGCGCAAAGAAAGCTATAAAAAAGCAATTAGGCGGGAGTCTGGGGAGCATTTTAGAAAATTCTGCGAGTCACAATCCCTTGAATCTGTATGGACTATTACCAATCCGACCTTACATTCCGACGGGACTCCTCGACTACCTCCTGCCACCCTCACTACAGCAGATGGACATACTTGTGATGCAGAGGACTCTGCGGATCTCTTATTAGAGCACTTCTTTCCTAGTGATCCTCCTGAGCTCGACACACCAGCACAAGCTGCTTTAAGAGCTGATTGTTATACCATCCCACACAATCAGGATGATCTTGCATTCACTGAAGGTGAGATACTTGAAGCCCTCAAGAGCGTGTCATCCAAGAAGGCTCCTGGCCTAGACGGTCTGACCTCAGACATTTGTCTAGCCGCAGTAGAAAGCTTTCCTTCTCTCTTTGTAGAACTGTATAACAGGTGTCTCACACTAGGTCACTTCCCAAGGAGCTGGAAGATCGCGTTGGTAAAAATTATCCCTAAATCGGGATCGAACCCTTCGGACTCTCTTAAATCCCATCGTCCTATTGGACTCATCGCCGTTTTCGGAAAAGTCCTGGAGAAACTCTTTATCAATCGTGTTGTCCACCATCTCTCCACTACAAACAATCTTTCCCCTTTGCAGTATGGTTTTAAGCGTCATAGCTCCACTGTGCACGCTCTTCAAGACGCCTTGGAATTTATAAAACGTAGTCGGACCTCTGGCCTTCTGTGCATTGCGGTATCTCTAGATATCCAATCTGCCTTCAACAGAGCTTGGTGGCCGTATATCCTTCAACGACTGAGAGATGTTAACTGCCCAGCCAATATCTTCAAGCTCGTTTCCAGCTACCTCCAAGATCGCACCGTCCTCCTTAGTTATTCTGGTGCTAATTCATCTCGGGGAATGCAGAGGGGATGCGTTCAGGGATCGGCCTGCAGCCCAGCACTTTGGAATTTAATCCTTGACGGACTTCTTGGTCTGACGCTGCCCGACGGGTGCCGCATCCAGGCGTACGCTGACGACGTCTTGCTCATCACAACGGCTAAGGACGTTAATACTCTTCAGACTCGCACTTGTACCGCCTTAGACACGATCGCTGATTGGGGACATAAGGTCAAACTAGTCTTCGGCCCTGAAAAAACCCAGGCTCTTGCATTTTCTCCTAAAGCTGGTCGAGCTCGTATTTTTATGCAGGGTAGGCACATCGTCTTTGACCGCTACTTCAAGCTCTTGGGTGTCATTATTGACAATAAATTAAAATTTAATAAACACATCTCATACGTTGTACAAAAGGCTCACAAATTGTTCCAGCGTCTATGTCTTTTTGTTCGCCCTTCCTGGGGTCTTCATCCAGAAAATATAGATTCCATTTATCGTTTTGCTATTGCCCCTGCTGTGACATACGCTGCCAGTGTGTGGAGTCATGCTGTCCACCGTGCCGTACACCGCAACAAGCTTTTGTCTCTCCAAAGGGGGTTTGCTTTGCGAGCTATTCGAGCATACCGCACAACTTCTACCAATGCTTCTCTTGCCCTCGCTTCTTTTATCCCGATAGACCTGGAAGTACTTCGCGTCGCTGAAGCGGAAAGGACCCGCCTATTAGGTACATCCACGTTTCTCCCTGATGACCTGTCCTTGGAGTTTCCTACTCCCGTGCCTCTTCTACCCCATCCGGCTCTACGTATCTCACCCGATTATGCAGTTGCTACCACCCCAGAAGGGATTAATTTTGCATGCCTGGAGAACACTGTGCAGATTTACACAGATGGTAGTAAACAGGATGACGATAAGGTCGGAGCTGCTGTCGTCTGTGTCGATCTTGACGCGCGCCCGACTGTCACAGTTAAAAAGTACAAGTTGCACAAAGTCTGCACAGTGTTCCAAGCTGAACTATTTGCCATTCTGGGAGCCTGTCAGCTGGCCGTCAGCAGGAAGTACACGGACGCGCTGATTTGTTCCGACTCACTCTCTGCCCTTCAGGCGCTGCAACAGCGGAGTAGTACTATGCCCCTTGTGACCCTTATCCATAAGGCTATAATAGATCATAAACCAATCGGCAAGATCCGATTCTGTTGGGTCAAGGGTCATACGGGTATTCCTGGTAACGTGCGCGCGGATGCGGAGGCTGGGGAGGCGGCAGCTCTCAGACGCGCGCCAGATTACTGGCATTACTCCATCTCAGTTGTCAAACGCCTCTCTCGTATTCAGGCCCAAGAAGAATGGGAAGAGCGCTACCGAAATGCTCCCCAGGGCAGCCATACGAGAAACTTGTTTCCCTCCCTTCAGAACATACTAGACTTCCGATCTCACTCTACACCTTCTTTCCAACTTTCACAATTTCTTACAGGCCATGGTGCGCATAGAACCTACCTTCATAGATTCTTAATAACTTCAACGGATTCTTGCCCTTGTGATTCCATTACTCCACAAAGCCCTATTCATCTTCTGACCGAGTGCCCGCGATTTGCCTCGCAGCGCCACTCGCATGTAGCTGTCTGCGGTAATAAGGTCCAGGACCCATTCAACTTTACTGATCTCAGTCGACACAGTAGGCTGGTTGAGTCCGTGGTACGTTTTATCACTTATATATATGACAACATTAAGGCATTCAACGAGACTTCCCTGGTTTCACTCTCTCATTCCTCTTCCTCGACCTCTTCTACCTCTTCCATTCCTTCCATCAGCCGTTTAGGGCCTGCTGCACCTACACTATCCCCTGAACCGCAGGCACATTCTCCTATAGTTCGTCCCTTCGTCTCCATTCCTTTATCATGGCCACCAAGCAATGATCCCGATAGTCCCGGCACACAGCGGCAGTCGTCGCCTTGAGTTGCATGCGGCGTGTATAAATAATTGTTAGTGTGTTTATTATTGTTGTTTAATATGTAACTATAACTGTTAATGAACATGTGACTTTATATTTTCTTATTTATATTTTTTTTTATAATTCCTTTTGTTTATTTTATCATTAAGTTTAAAGTGTCTCACAAACAGACGCGGCCTGCGGCGGCGGCCTCTCCTATGTGTATTTCTGTAACCATCACGACCCCGGCCGCGGCCGCGGGTGGCGTCTGTCTGTGAGACACTTAATATTATTGAATATATTTTGTCAATGCATGTATATCATGCAAGATTGTTAAACCCTTACACTCTTACTCCCATACTTTAAACCTGTTATGTATTTTCTGTTTCGTTTCCTTTCCTCTCCTATTCTTTCGCCTCTCACTATTATTAAACCGTCCTCTCCTCTCCCTGTCTTTCCCACCCATTCGACCTCCCTGGCTGCATCTCGACGCGGCCTCGGATTCTGATGGGGCTACTCTAACAAATATCGAATCCCTTATATATTACAATTATGTTATATTCAGCACCTTAAAATGTAAAATGTAATAAATAAACAGCATGCCAAAGCGGGTAAACGCAGTAATGGAAGCACGAGGAGGTAATACGAAGTATAAAAATTCAAGAAAATGATAATGTTTAAAAATGTCATGTTTCCTATCTTTATGTGACCCGGATTCATTGTTCTCGAGTGTGTATAAGTACCTACTACTTAAAACTTCCTTTTTTAACACGCTTTAATTAGGTCGACTTGTATGTAACGATGTAATAAAATGTAAGAATCTGAATTACACGCAGTTATAATTCTTGTATCATCATGAAACTTGGCAATTATATGTAGATTAGATGACAAGACAATATTATGGTACCATGGAGCTGGTCTCGATGATGGGACTGGAAGGTGGCTGATGGAACCTTGGACTGCCTACTAGTAAACATATCGAGTTTGGTATTTATCAAATCAATTTATATATTTCGTGGCATATAACGTAATATATATATATATAAAATAAACTATAAACATGGCTAACTCTAAGGCCCCAATGGAGTAAACAGAGTATATTTTATTTTTGGCTTTTTAGTGCAGTAAATAAAAGCGTGTTTTTAGTTTTTTTTAACTATTTTTTCTATTAATATTTTTATAAGTAGGTATAATTTATATTTATAAAATAATTTATTAATGAATGTCAGTATGCTTTCTTTTTTTCTTAGAAATAAATAAATGAAACCCAGTAAATTACATTACCATCATTTAATACACAACTATATATTAAGCTTTTTGGAAAAGTAAAGGAGATCTAGTATTGCAAATTCTTTTAAATTTTGTACTGTGATAGCTAAAACTAGAATTATTGCCAATGGTTGTAAAACAAATTTAGTAAATTTATACACTAAGCGTCACTGATACAAATAATGTATGCCTGTATTTTTGGAAGGTAGAAATACTATTATAAATTGTTTTATGTGGTATACAAATGTACCTATTCTACTACAATAATATCAAGCATATATTTTATAATAAATACTTTTAAACATAATTTATATTAAGATAATACACTGTCATGATAGTTTATTTTATTTCTCTTTATAAATAAATCTATCAGTAGTTTATAAAGCATAAAATCTTAAGGTCTGTATTTATATGCAGTTGAGTACACAACCTATTTCATTACATAAAAATGTACAAAGGGAATATTGTTGCCTATCATATTAAGATAATATTATTATCTTATTTTTAGTTTATAGGTATATGTCTGTACCTTTTTAATTTACTAAAACTTCAATTATCCTACTGTATGTTATGTTACTGTATAATAGTTATTGTAACAGTAAAATATGTAGATATCAAAATTCATGATTATTTCATGCTGTCAGTAATCTATCCCAGTTTATCTCATTGTTGTACACCTCTTGTTCAAGCCACAACTCATAATTTTCTTTGAACTCTTCGTCAAGCTCAATATTACTTTCAAGAATACTGTTAATATCAGTTTCATAAGGAGACAGATCTAATTCATGTTCACCACCAGTGCCATACCTTCGAAGGTTGAAGCGGTCCACACTCACTCTCAATGCACTTTCTTCATCCTGAAAGTCCCATGGCCTAGCATCAACATCATTACCGAATGCCCAGTCATCATTTAGTCTGTGCCGAACCTTTGAATAAATGGCGCTTATAGTCTTCATATTTGTCTTTCTCCATTGTCTTCCCAAATACTTAGTTTGCATCTTAAGTAATTTAAGTACATAAAACTGCATGAGGGCATGCCTTACTTTAAGTGTGCGTTTCAAAATTGGTGCACTTTTGAACACCACAAGCATCATGATTCGTGCATTTTTCCACTTTGTTAGTTTATTTAATATCCTCAATAGGTTTATACAAGAGAAAACATTTCGCCATGAGTATGGGACTGTCGAATCTCCAATATCCAAACACTCTTTTGTCAACTCTGGTTGCTCTCCAATCACACATGCGGGGAAGTCAAATATAGGTATTGAATTTTTCGCTCCAACATATGACAAAATGTTTTGATTAAAAAATTTTAAGACTAATGGCATGCAATTAGCATACACCAAGTGTTGTGACATAAATTCAAATTGATAAACATGATTCAGTTTGAAATGCTTCAGAAGCAACAACAATATAGCAGTTACAGCTTTGACAATTATTTCCTTGTGCCTATTTACATCAATGCCAAGTTTTAAAGATTTCAAAACAGTCATTGGCATTTCCTCAGGCAGAAGATCCGCCATTATGTTTATAGAATATGTCTTTGCAGTAGATGTGGGAGCTGCTGCCAAGAGAATTTTTAATAAGGCTATCATATATTGAGGAAGATTTGGAACCATGGCCCTGTACAAGATTTCTGCCTCAGTTTCCTCAACTTCTTTCTCACCTTTGGTAAGTGGGCTTCGTGCAATCTCAATCTCCCTCTCTATTTGTATTTCTGAAAGACTAGTGTACATGTGCTTTTTGAGTATTTCCATACCTTCGTGTATGGGCTGCGGCAGACCAGCTATTGTTTGTCTATCTCCTGGTAGAGAGTAACCGACAAATTTGATACGTACATTGTCCAAAAACATGTCAATATCCTTCTGTCTCACTTTGGACTGCCATGGGAGGCTTCTAGGTAATGGTGGTGGTGGAGGAGGACTGTCAAACTGCTTAAAATACATGTAATAACACTGCTGGTTGTTATCACTTGATGTTCCATCACTTGGCATTGATTGGAACTCCATAGAATCTTCAGATCCATTTCCAGTCTCCTCTTTGTCAACAAATATTTGCTCGTCAGATTCATCTAAAGAGGTCTGTTTCATAAAAGTTTGTCTTCTGAGTATACGTTCATTCTCTTTCATCTTTCTTTGTCCAGGATTTTGATTCTCCAACATATCTGCTGCACTGGGAGGGGGGGAACTAGCTCGCATACCTTTTATAATTTCAAGAGTGTCTTCTGTTACCTTAGGTAAGCCATGTCTTTCACGTAATCTTGCTTTTCTTTCTTTTAACTCCTCTGTACCTCCCAGGTACACAAGCAAAACTTTCCATAACAATAACAAGACCTTTTTCATTGGAAAATGTGGTGTTGTGCCAGCACACAAATGTGTAACCATGTTTAAAAGTTTAACTGGCAACAGTTCATCACCAAATGGCTGTCCAAGTTCTTCTTTAAAGTTTTGTACCAGATGACTGTACTCTGATTCTGGATGGTCTTTTTCAGTCCTCATGTATTCTGTTATCAAATACAATACTGACAAAATAACACGAAGATTGGTTGAGTCTGCAAGGGATTCAGTAAGTTTTCTTGATGCAATTGCTGTACTACTTCTAACAATTTCAAGATTAAGTAGTTCCACAAAAGCTGTAAACGTGCCCATTTCATACAAAGTCATAACATTGATACGCGCCCAATAAGCTTGCTCCGCATCTGACTGTACCTCAGCCCAACAGCCTTGAGCTAAATAAAATATGCACCTTGTTGCTCGCATACGTATTTCGGTAACAGCTACATCCAAATGTTCTAACAACTTTACAATAACCGTTCGTTGTTGAGTTTTATTCAATCTCTGCCAACTAGGAGGATAGTTAAACTCTTCCATGATATCCTCAAAAGCTTTGACATTCAGTTGAAATTCTGGATGTTCAGTGTAGCTGTAAAGTTCTGCTATTTCGTTGGTCTGCGTGTCGCAGTCATCGTACACGAAATCCAATTCGGGGCTCTCCATGTCGTTAACACAATCTCCTTCCTCCATCGGGCGACGAACATCGGGCAACTTAGCTCCACCTCGCCGGCCGTTACCATTAGTGCCCATTATTATAATGGTACCTAATTCAAAAAGATATAGTTCGGTACCAACCAATCTAAAAACTTTAATATATTTTTGTAAATTTTTGAAGTACAATCATTTTCTCTGAAAATAAATCGAATCGGACAGAATTGGACAAAGGAGATGGCAGCGGGCTGTCAAGTGTCAAATTTTTGTAATATTTATTAACTCTCGTTTTTTTTAAGGAAGGCAAAGGAAACAATATCGATACAGCTAAGTTTTAAGTTATTTTGATTTTTTTTTTAACATTAGAATGACGGTATGACGCTTTCTAATGTTTCTTGGAGTATTTGGCATGAAAGGTATCGAGTTGGCTTTTTCGATAAACTTCTGTGAGGTAGTCAACACTACAATAAAGTTCTCACATCGGGGTGCACAGCAGTGCCCCCGCCAAGTCGAGCGCGAAGCAAACGCTGCCGTACCATCCTTTACTGGAACCAATTCGCCGCATTTTCAGGCCCCTATTTGAGAACCTCTGGATAAGACCAAAACACAGAAATATTCATCATCCAGTAAGCTATAATAACATACTTAAAATCCAAAATTTCAAGTCTGTAGGTCATTTAGTTAAGAAAGTTGTGGCGACGGCAACACCAGTCGCGATGTTTGAGGTGGCAACACATATCAATTGCCGCTATAACTATTGTCAATGTCAAGTAAGCCGCTCTTTTTTCTCTTCTTGTTTGTTGTGCTATTTTAACTAATATACTATTATTACCTTGTACTGTTATTTAATAACTGTTATGTGCCATAAAAATGTGCCCACCTGATGCGTGCCTGTCTACGAGCTCGAGAACCAACGGAATATAACGAAAGCTAAGTAGTAGAATAGTTCACCTAAATAATAGCCTGTTTGCATCTCATGAAAAGTTTGTAAGTGTAAAAATAAGCGCTTGCCTGCGCTCTTGATATTAGCCTATGTACCTGTGTTTACCGGCACGGTAAAAAGATACTCTCTCACACCGGCGTAAGAACGGGAAACGCCTGTGTCATTGACATAATTATAACAATATAAAAGGAGGTAAAAAGATACTCTCTCACACGGTGAAAGTACCGGCGGCGTTAAAGGCGTGAACCGCCTGTGGCATTGACATAATTATAACAATATAAAAGAGGAGGGCTTGTGCTTCTGCAGGAGGCAAGTCCTAGGGTACCCTACCGAAAGACCACAAGAGAGAGTGTTATGGCATGCGCAGCGCTATGTCTGGACGGAGCTGGAATAGTGGCTGAGCCAGATGGGAGACGTTCCATAGTAGTGCCATAAGAAGTGGGCGACGCGACTCTTGCATGTGGGCGCACACATGCAAGGGTTGCGTGGGGAGCAGGCGACGGCTTGGCTCTCATGCTCACACCGCTCTGCAGGAGCGTAGGACACATGGCATAAAGTCATGTTAGGAAATCTCCGCATCGTTTAGACAGCTAAAGTAGATTGTTGAGTTAACATGGGTAATTGACATATAGATGATCTTGATACTCATTTATGACAATATTTATGTGTTCTGTGAATCCTGGAATCATACCGTGATGATGGTGTGACTCCGGGACTTAGTGGCACCACGCAGTGGTGTCATAATTTTATTTATACTTACAGATGGAGTAAGAAAGAGATGAGAGGCATGGACGGACATCCGCTGGTGCTTGAAGGTACATACAATATAATCTATGGTATGTAATCACCCTTCATCTCTCGATTCTCCCTTTGTCACGTGTCTATCGTCAAAATCTCGCGATCCACGGTGGATACGTTTGTATCACGGATATGGGCTGCATTGGCAGCCCCGCCTCCAAGAGGGTCGCGACAGAAGTTAAGCGAAACCAAAGTTTCGCATTTATGACACTCACTCATGATCATCAGAATAGAACTAGTACTTCCCATAAACTTAGAGAGCTGAAATTTGGTACAGAGTTAGGGTTTAATGGCCAGATAAAGGGAAAACTATAAAAACTAGGATAATCGAAGATCTGGAGTACCTGGTGACCCTGATTAGAAAACACAAGAGCCCAATCAAACTATTAGAAGAGATCGACATACCGCCTTTACAAAAAATATTCAACTTGGTGGGCCGCTTCATTTGATGTCAAAAATCGAAGGTCTGAAGTATCTGATGAAGAACCCTCAGCTGTATTGGAGATATGGTAACGCCCCCTTCTACTATTGTTACACAAAAAAATCGACTGTCATTGCAAAAGTCCAGCGTAGTGGGACACATCTTTTAATTTAATCTAGCCTATAGCGTCCCACTGCTGGGCGAATGCCTCCCCTTCAGCTTTTAATACGCATATAAATAAAATTAAAGGAAACTCTGGATAACACTAGACTGGCTTTTATACTTATACTTACGAGTTTACAAGAAAAATAGTGGTACGATTAACTTTATTCTACTCGAACATTACACAAATTAAATAAACAAATTACACTAAAATATTAATTTCGCTCAAAGTTTGGTCAAAATATAATGCATTGGACTAAAAGTGGCAGTGATACCAAGGTCTAAGTCTAAAAAATGCCCTCATGGACATTGGCACCTCCATTTTCTCTTGTGGCCAAGCCTATGTGGCGCTTTCACGACTAACCAATCTTCATGGGGTGCACCTCATAAATGTTGACTTCAAAAGTATAAAAGTTGCGTTTACACGTAATGTTGCTCGTATGAATGCATAGGTGCAATGGTGTCAGCACCAATGTGTAGCACCTGGTTTTGTACCCTTGTGTACCCTTCAACGGCCAAGTCACACGACATTAACTATAATAATAAAGAAATCGCAGTAAGGAACCTTAGACTTGGTACGACTTTGTATAGATTTCATTACTTTTTAGAGATAAACAAGCAGCTCCATCGAGACTTGGCTAGTTTTTTACAGAATGTTTTTGGTGGGATCCACTTGACCGGAAAAGAGTATATTTTAAAGAATCCACTAATTCTTCAGTTGCACAGACGGATGTAACACAAAATCACACCAATTTTATTTCACAATGATCTCGATTCTGGCATGATTCTCCAAACCTAAACTAAAATTTGGCAACAGTGGTGTCGATTCTGACATGATTCTCTAAACCTAAACTTAAATTGGACAACAGTGTATAATCCTTGTCATTCTCTTTACAGAATGAAAAGGAGAGACTGATGTAAAAATGATTCTATCTCTCTCTCTCTGATGTTAAATTTAGTTTTAAGTTTAGAGAATCACGTCAGATCGATACCAATAAATTTAAGAATAATTAAAATAAGCCGCCAACCGTCTTAGACCATTAAACCATTGGACTAAGTACGCGCCTAATTTTACTCAGTGCAAAGTTTGTCACTTTTTGAGGGGGACGAGGTAAACCACTACATTGAAATAAACTCACACAGCCTTAGTTATTTGTATTGTTACAATCGCCTACAAATATATTTTTTCACCTACGCACACTAATGACAATCACAAGTAATCGTAACTAGGGAAAGTTCGGTATCGATATTTTATTGAAGTTATACTTCTTTAGGCGCGTTATGAAAAAATGATGAGAGTGAAATTTTAAGATGAGAGTGAAGTTGGCTTTAGCGACCAACTTCATGCGTTACTTTTGTGTTTACCGCACATCAAAAAAATCTACCAACAAAATAGAAATAGAATCTCTAGTTAGTGGGTGCTAACGACTGCATTGTGAAGGCCTATCAAAAGTATTTATTAATCTGGAACAACGGAACCAAAGCGCGATTCAGGAGACTACAGCGCCATCTCTTGACCATTGGTGTAGTAGAACCAAAAACCACATCTTTATTTTTCAATGTTACTTTTATGTTATTATTGTAATAAAGTAACAGTTATAGGTATTCATATTTATAATATTTATCCACATGTTTCTAGTTTGTATATTCGGAATACGTGTTTGAGTTTCATACAAGTGCAAATCTCATATGTTCTAATAAATTATATTCAGTAGCGATTTTAATTGAATATTTTGATTATTTATTTATTTTTTCAAATTAACACTGAACTTTATTGACTGTGTCCTTTTCCAGACTTTTTATTAATTTATTGTAACTAATTATTTGCATGCAATTAAAAACTAATTTTAAACGATGCCAAAGAAGGATAACTTCTCACGCGCCTACATAAGTACACGCACCCATTTTTTTTTATTAAAATAACAATATCGATGGTTTTACTTGTTCTCAAAGATTATTTTATAAAATAAAAATATGACAACGGAAAAAATAAGTCCGGGTCTTTTAATACTCTCACTGGTAATTACCCAATCACTTATAATTTTTGCTTAACTTAAAAAATCGTTTCGTGGGAGAAAATCCTAAATGTCATTTGTTTTATGTATATATTTGCATTTCTTTTTATCTGTCAAACAGTCGTTTCAACATAGGTACAGTCTTGTCCATAAAATGTGTGTTAAATTTAACGATTTCGGCAATAAAAAAATATTGCTACTGTAAGTGCAGATGGCCAGAGGTATAATTATTAAAATGAAATAAAAATACTTTAAGACATTAGATTAAAACTTTTATTGAAAAAAGTACAACATGAATCTTCTACACTCACTTTTATTTAACATTATTATGATTATTACAATTATTCTCAGTGGTACAAGATCTGTTGATGATTTCATATCTTTTAAGAGCTTATGTCTAACAAGTCAAAACATCATATTTTAACACGCTTATATTAGCGTCACTTGTAATTAACTAGGTAAACAAATCTGGAAAGTCGAATTCAATCTACTTCTTATTCTCATATTGATTCAAAACTTGGTAAGTGTATGTAATTTGGATGACAATACGATAATCTGAAATCATTGAGCAAGTCTGATAATGAAGCCAGGGGGTGAATAGTGAATTCTTCAATGTTAACAAAAAGATACCTCGAGTCTGGGTTTATTTGGTTTGTTTTAATGAACACTCATTCCACCATTCCAATGTTAAAGTATAAAAACTCATTTTTACTAAACCGTCATGAAACCACCAGCTGTCTCATCGTATTTTTTCTCTACTCTGGCTTTTATGTATTAAAATACATACGTACGTTACGTTCATATTACATACGCAAGCATGCACAAGCATGTTATGTTATTTTCTCTAATTATATTTTCTTTAGATTTAAACATCAAGCAGTTGCATGCTTTAAAAAATATAACTATAATTGCAATTTCTTCTTTCAAATGTTTAATACTTGTAAAAGAATTCATTTGACATTGTGAGTTACCTACAATGCGAAGAGGTGACGCTGCCTTGCAGCTTAAGAATGGCTAGAAGAATTTTGACGCGGCCATTACATGCTTAAAAACAAAAGAAAACAAAAAATTATGTATTATTAATATCTAACTTATTGATTTTTAAAATGTATTAATTTTGAGTAAAAGTGTCTTATGCATTCAAAAAAACAAAAAACCATTATATCGATATTATTTTTTCAATTTTATTTCCCATCACTTAAAAGTCGTAAATAAATAGTCTCGCTACACTCAATTCAAGTTAAATAATTTTTATTTCGAATCTTAAATGCGGGGCCTAAGGTCGAAACTTGACAATTAAAAAATGTAGTCTCGTGGGGAGTGCGTTTGCAAGTCTCGTGGGGAGCATGCAATAGAGACTATATTCGCCAATAAATAATTAAGGTCACTAAAATGGACTCAATTCTTTAATTATAAGCCGTGATTATAAGGTATAAAATCATATGAATATGTTTCGGCACACATTCGAATTGCAAGTTTCTATTCTCGATTATTGTAAAATTCATTTTTAATTGAAAAAAAAAGCACTAAAATATAGAAAAAACGTTACATGTGAAATGATATCCCTTCTTTTTGTAAATTAGAGGTGTTTGATATTTTTTTGCACGTTAAAACGGCACAGATTAGCATTTTTTTGCGAGGAGACACGGACTGTTGTCACAACGATAACGATTCTCACACTGTGGAAATCTATCGATTGTAAGTAGTTTTTATGAACGCACAGGATCATTTGATCTTATACCTTGACAGAGGGGAAACATCTTGCGAGGCTAGTCCTGTGGTTTAATGGTCTAAGCCAACCGTACTCGATAAAATCCCGCTAAAAAACTCTTTTGTATTTTTTTAGGTCTCCCTTTTTAGGGAAGGCAAAGGGGACATTGCCTATACAGTCGTGTCTTAAGTTTTATTATTTATTATATTAGTTGATTCATTCATTCATCTGACTAAACATAAAAACCATTTTTGTTTCTAACTTCATAAGAGGAAAAACTACTCCGAGGACAACGACGAAAGCGGAATCTGTCCCTCTCTTGCAATTGTCAATGTTAATAAAAATAGTCAAATGGTAGTTTTCACATTATTCCGAAACCATTTATCTTTATATATAAAACTCAAAGGTGACTGACTGACATAGTGATTTATCAACGCACATCCCAAACCACAGGACGGATCGGGCTGAAATTTGGCATGCAGGTAGATGTTATGACGTAGGCATCCGCTAAGACAATTACAGCTGCGCTTCGCACAATCGAGCACTCTCAAAAGTAATGTTTTCGTGTGATGCGTGCAATAGTACCAACTCAGTGACAGAAAATTAACAAGTGTTTTTTCTTTAAGTTGGCATTGATCGAAATGTTATAGATAATTAATATCGTTAGTAATATTATGTATTGTAGAAAATTTTTTAAAGCTTTCGTTTAATTGTAGTTTTTTTTAAATAATCCAAGTTAATTCAAACTGTGTTAAAAAAATAAATATAAGTATGGATGAAGGTACATACAAACATTGTCTTTTTTTCAACATTGAACTTAGCGCACTCTGCTGGTGCATTTGAAAACTAATTCACGTTCCAACTAAGCATCAGCATAATTCGGCATTGTGCGCCACTGAGTAATTGGAAAACTACCAAAGCAACTAAAAATGTGTTTATTTTTATAGAAACGGATATCATGTCTAATAAAATCTTAGAGCATATACCAATGGAGACATACCGTTCTTTCATTGAACAAAAAATTCCGGCATTATTGGCGCGGCACGAGGTAACATAGCACACCAACGAAAATATGCTCATATATCGAAATATTCTCCCACAAACACGAGCGCGTTGTTGCTTTAAACGCACATTTCAAAAATTACGTCACAGAAACGCACACACGATAACAATTTCTATGTAACTATGAAATTGTTCGAGCGTACACCAATACAAAAGTTAGTGATACGACATTTAAAGAATGAACGATATTTGAATGAACAGTTCGCGATTACTAAACATAATGTTTGTTTATAAAGAAATCAAAAAGTTTCGTTTATAAAAATCTATATGAAATTTTATTTATAGTTTTAGTACTTTTGATTTTTATAAACAAAATTCAAATATATTTCAATGTCATAAATCACATTTAAAGAATATCGAAATATTGTCATAAAATTACTTGTCTCTATAAAGATATCGATATTAATTGAGACAGCCTTGGGGCTGCACTATGTATAGGCGCCATTTTGGTTTCTCAGTAACTTTAGGTAGAATATACACGTTTTTTTCGTAAGTATGCCATCTCCTTAGGTTTCAGTACTCAGATGGTGCTATCTAACTACTCTGTGGTCTAGTAGTATCTATGTAGTAGTCTGTGACATAGAGAAACTGATCTGTGATTGGGTGTGTTCCTCTGGTGTGTTCCCATCACGGCATGGAATCTTCATAGTAAAAATTGGACCAATTTCGTGGCCATAGACAAGAAACGGTACTTTAGAATCTGACATTTCCGTCGCCTTCATCCCTTTCCGTCACCCCTGTACTCCCCGCCCGCGTCAATTAGCACAGATGTTTTGTTAAATTTTGTTAATTTATTAAAGGTATGAAAGCAATGAGTAACCAAATAATATCAAGTAGCCACAAAAGTTAGATATATTACCGAAATTACTATAGTATTGTGTAGTGTTGCTTTCCAAAATTTATTTTTGGTGAGGATGCACGGTTAAGGTTTCATTTATGTTTATTTGTTTTTTGAATATTATTTAGGTATTGTAATTATATTGCTACGTTTACATAATATTATGTAAACAGCTTTGAATTTATGAAAAATAAAGTATTTTGTGTATAATATTTTAACAATTCTTATTTATCTATCTCTGAGTTTATTAGTCGATTAATGTCTACTTGCAGCAATTTTGCGAAATCTCGATTCAGATTGAATGTTTATTCAGATATACAATATGGTTCAATTGTCATTTGACACTTCTATGGGCTAAATCTAGTTTTACTTAAATCTAGATTTTGCAAAGTTACTGCAAGGTTTCGCGGTATTGGTATTTTAAATAGCCCGCGGAAATACTGCTTATGAGCGAACCCCAAACAGCAATATTGGTCAATGATGGATCATGGAAAAAATAAATGTGTCAAAGTCTAAAGTACCATTTCCGTATTGGTTCTTCGAAGATTCCCGTCTGATGCGTAGTATCCCCTATAACCGTAGTTTGTGGTTCCATAAATTCTTTCAGTTTTGTTGTGTTGATATTACAACTCAAATGAAAATTGCTAAATATCTTTCGAATAATAGTCAGTCAGTCAGTGAGAACACATAAATATAACACTTAATTGTCAGAACATTCTAATACTCAATAAATTTATTGAATATTCAGGTAAATAATGATATAAGATGGTTAAATTACCTATTAAAATTCCTACTGTATCAGTCCGAATATTTAAAAAAGTGATTAATTAGTTCTTACAGTATCAAAATGGCAGAATTAGCAGCTTTACTTCAAACCGAAATACCTGAAGGTCGAAATCATCTCACTGACAGCCATACCAATCTGGAGCGAGTGGCAGAATATTGTGAAGCCAATTATTTTCAATCCGAGAATAAAAGGCTTGCCTTAGAAAGCACGAAAAACTATACCACCCAATCTTTAGCCAGTGTAGCTTATCAAATCAACACATTGGCTTTCAATTTTCTTCAATTATTGGAGCTGCAGACAATGCAGTTGGCTGAAATGGAAGGCCAAATGAACCACATTGCACAGACTGTTGCCATACATAAAGAGAAAGTAGCTAGGCGGGAGATTGGTGTCCTTACTGCCAACAAAGTTATCACTCGGCAGTATAAAATTATAGCACCAGCAAATCCAGAGAAACCAATCAAATATCTGAGGAAGAGCATTGATTATACAGGTAATTCACAATTTTCTTTCTACAAATTTAGTTCCTGAATTCAGTTCACAATTAGATGACCTTTTACATTCTAACATGGCTATTATCATACAGAAACTTGAACCAATATTAGGCATAATAATATGTGATGTAGAAGTGAAACTAAACAATTGATAAAGTTGACTCTTAATTGTTGTATTTACATGTGTTTTCTGTATTGTTTAGATAAAACTTATTACAACACTAAATTAATGTGAGTTGTATAGAATAAAAAATGTCTTTTAAAGATATTTTTGATGTGTCACATCTTTCCTCTTTTTTTATTTTTATTTTATTTATTTATTTAAATTTATTTGTAGCTCTTGACGACATTGGCCATGGTGCACGATGGAACAGTGGCCAGTCTGGAACGCCGCGCGGACGTCGTTCCGGGTCTGCGCCTAGTTCTGCAACGCTTCCAGCTCCTACTACAAAACCACCAACACCTCCCGCTGCTGTGCGAGCTGCCAATGCTGCTAACACAGGCACCCTGGGACGGGGGACTCTCGGTATATTGCCTTCTTACAAGGATTCTTATCATGTCATATTTCTCTTGAGAAATTGTTTCTCTTGAGAATATGAAAACTTAAGTAATAAAAACCTTATTACTCAGAATGGGAGGATGTATTGAAATTGACAGCTAAATTACGCTGGCGCAGGGTTGCTCTTAAAAGAATGCACTGGAAGGAACTAAAGGGGGCCTAAGCCAGAAGGCACACTTTTCTATCTATTTTCTTTTAATTAAATTTCAAGAAGACTGTGTCAAAAAAGCCTAAATAAAAAAATGTAAAAACCTTTATAGCATTGCTCTCCTCTACAGGATTTGACTGTGCTACAAAATCTCTTGTACAAAGAAAGAGTCAGCACTATCTTTGATGAAACTTAAAAATCTCTTGGATACCTATGTCTAAAAAGTACTAAATGTTTAAATGTAAAGAAAATATTTACTAGAAAAAATCCACGTGGACAAGGCAACAGACGGGATTCGAACCCGCGCCCTCTGCGGTGTCGAATTCCTACTAGTATTCTTAGGTTGAAAAGCATTAGGGCCATGGTAGCATAATGGTCAGTGCATCCGCCTGGATAGTGGAGGGTGCAGGTTCGATTCCTGTCTGCTGCCTGGTCGGAGTGGATTTTATTCTAGAAAATATTCGCTTTAGATTTAAACATCTAGCAGATTAATGCTAAAAAAATAAAATAAGTAGTAAATCTATACATTTAATGTAAAGTCAACTGTACATTGAATATTTTTTTGAAAGAATACTTGGGGTGTGATCTACAATTGATACCCAAGCCAAAATTATAGTTTTTATAATTTTTGTCTGTTTGTCTGTATGTATGTTTGGGATAAACTCAAAAAGTACTGCATGGATTTACTTCAAATTTGGCACGAATATTATTAAGAAGTCGGTCAACATATAGGCTATATATTATCACGCTATCACCTACGGGGAACGAGCAGTGAACCTTAATTTCTAACTAACTCCACGCGTACGAAGTCGCGGGCGGCCGCTCGTAATTAATAAATGTTTTGTAGGCAAGTCGTCTCGCGAGTATAGGACTCCGCCTGCAGTGGCCCCGCCGCAGGTTCCGTCGCACTACGCACCAAACTATCCGAGGAGACCACCCGGATATTCTACGCTGCCTGTGGCTCAATCTCAAGTTCAAGTATGTATTTAGGTTTCGTCCACTTTAGTGCTCTTGATTTTTTTCAATTAAAGTATTTAGTAATGTTTGTAGGCCTTACGGCCAATATCAATAATCAAGCTTCAGTTAAAGGTAAGGATAATCTAGTTCCGTTTTTGGCAACGGCTGGTAAGATATTTTTATTATTAATCTTAATAATAAAAATATGTTATCAACAAAGCTCAAGTAGGTCTACCTTACTGGAGTTTGATTATCAAAGCCGTTAGTAATGTAGCCTTTAAATTTGGGTCTTGTACATTTTGTATCAAAAATATGCTTCTAATTATATAATTACACTGTGTCATTCATTATACTTCTTTGAATATTCAAAGTAGCATAATGAATGACGCAGTAGTTAGCACATTCAGTCTGTAATCATGGAAGTTTAGTAACTTTCGCCTTGTATCGAGTTCCACATACTTTTAAAGGTATGTTAATCCATTGGTCTTGGCTGCATTTGCAGTCCTTCCGAGTAAATTGCACTGGGCCCCTGTGGTGTGTCATGTCAAGGCACCCAATCTCCTTATTTATTTAAATAATTAATTCAAATTCAATTAGCTATTTATTAAAGTTGAAAGGTAAGAAAATGTTGTGATATTTTAAGGTTGGTATGGTGCACCCAAATCAACACCAGTCACCATCGAACTACTCTCAACAAGACTTGCACTCCAGCATGCCGCGTAAGTATATTATTTATTATATTTTATCAAATTTTAATTTAATTTTCAAATTGAGTCACAATTTGTAATCAGTATTTAGGAACTGTTTCGGATGGCACTGATAACAAGCACTGCTAATATATTTGGTCTCGCTATATAACGAGTTGAATCACATTCATTTTATCTCTTCACATTTTTATGTACTTAGGTTGTTACCATACAGTTATGACTAATTTAACCACAAAAAAATAAGTTTCTCTCTTTTAACACTAGACGCTTACCATCGGTTTGCGCAATTCAACCGGCATGGCATTACTGACATTGTGGTTGAAGTGCGCAAACCGAGTGGAACTCCAAACAATCAGCTTCATAAACTTGTAACATTATAAAACACTAGCGGCCGCCTGCGACTTTTTCCTCGTTACATTTTGGTTTTTGATAATCCCACAAAAGTTACATTTTTTGGGATAAAAAGTATCATATGTCTCAATCAGGGTCATAAACTGTATGCGTACCAAATTTCATCCAAATCCGTTCAGTATTTCGTTCGTTGCATGATTGGCTAACAAACACACAAACATAGAAACTTTCACATTTATATTTATAATATTAGTAGGATTACAAAACTTCAATAATTTGCCGATGAAGTAAATATACTGAAGTCAAATTCACGTATTTAATTTTGTTAAATTTGTTTGATAATTAAGGCTATGTTTGAGGCGTTTGACAAACAAACGTGTTTGAAGGAAATCTGGATTGACGCCGTGTTTGACAATCAAAATTTTAACGTTAACTACAGCGTGGTTTGTCAAATAAGATCTCACTCGTGCGTCATGTCTATGACCTTGTCAGCTCAATCAAAGCACTATACAGAAAAAGCCTAAGTTTAGGAGACGTCACTTCTAAGTTAAAATAGTACCAATAAAATTACGGGCCTCGCTTGACAAATTTGTTTGATGTGTGGTTTCATTGTCAAGCTACTTTTTCAATTCAATTCAATTTTTGGTGATTATGGCGGCGTCTCATTACGTGACGATTCTGCCAATGTCTGGGTTAAAGGAGACAAGGTATATGCTGAGCCTGTACGGTTTTGTTGATGTTGTGCAGTCTCGTTGAGTATCTGTAACAACACATAGACAAACATTTGTGATACCAGGTACCCATGCTTTTAATATGGAGAAACAGATAAATATATGTATTGATATAGTATACTAGGGTAAAAGGAGGGATTTTTTTTGTGTTACTACAATCAAAGTTTTATATTATTTTGTTTCAGGAACTTGCTCAGTATATAAATTAAGGGGGATTGTACTTGGGTTAGCATATAATTAATATTAATGGGGCGGCTTGCCTTTTTTGATAATAAATTATACAGGGGAACAGAAATTTTATTGCAGTGAAATAATATGTGCTCAAGGGTCCCTTCATCTAACCCACACTCACAGAGTGAATGATCGCGTACTTTGATTTTTGCCAGAAAAACTGGAGTACATATATGGCCCAGTCTCATGCGAATGATGGTAGATATCACAGATTTGGGTATATGTTTGTGGCGGAAGAACCAACGTTTTGATGGGATGTCAGGTTGTAAGCTGCCATAGTGTTTACCCTTTGTTTAGTAAGATTTTTGGTACATTTCATTCCATGTTTCTAGCATCATTGATTTAGCCATATGTCGGATGTCGCGGGAATAACATTGATTTTGTAGATCAAGGCCAACAAGCTACTTTTTAATGAAAACGTAAAGTTTATCAAGTAATTTTGACAAACAAATTTGATCGTTCACAGGGCCCTTCATGATTATATCATTATTTTATATTACTTATACTTACATATTATATATTACTATAAATGTCATTTTTTCTTTTTTAGCTCCGCCATCTCCTTTGATCGGATCTGACGGCGAACACAGCCAACATTCTATGAGTTTGCCTGGGCAGGTTGGTAGATCGATAGTTCTGTTAAGTATTTGTTTATCACAATTGAAACTGAAAAAACTGTTTTTGTGAATCCAATCCAATCTTTTCTTATTGACTGAAATGATACTATGGCAATGGCCCGAAATATATATCGAAAAGATGGGTCACCAATCTTGAGCTTCTTTGTGCTTCGGAAGCACATAAAGCCATTGGCGCCGGCTGCATCTGTAGTCCCTAGCACCCATCTATCTACAATAGCCTTCGTGATGGGCCGTGCAACCGACTAATGATAGGCAATTATACCTGACAACACATTTGACTAAAGATCAGAGCGCCCGACCCGACCCGACCAGCGCCGCCTCCGCGCGCGGTTGATATTTTTAACACGCTTTTATTAGGTCGACTTCTATGTAACTAAGTATGTAATAAAATCTAAGAGTCTGAATTACACGCACATCTAATTCTTGAATCATTATGAAACTTGGCAATTGTATGTAGATTAGATGACAATACAATATTATGGCCATACCATCGAGCTGGTCTGATGATGGGACTGGAAGGTGGCTGGTGGAACCTTGGACTGCCTACTAGTAAACATATTGAGTTTGGGCTCATAAGATTCGTCTTAACATATTTTATTCATTTTTCCTGATGACTGAAAATAAAAAGAGTAAAATAAATTAATAGTTAAAAAAAACTAAAAACACGCATTTATTTACTGCACTAAAAAGCCAAAAATAAACAAAATATACTCTCTGTTTACTTCATTAGGGCCTTAGAGTAAGCCATGTTTATAATTTATTTTACCATATATATATACAAATAAAGAAGTCTAAGCAACATGCATCATTCACGCAAACTGCAAGTTTTATCAGTTGATATTTTGTATTAACCTTATGAAATGTACAATTCATTCAAAGGTTACTGGTGTGACCATGAGAAAAAAAGCGAGTGTGCTTATGACCACACGACTGAAGTGAAACTTCTTTAGCTCCAATGATCTGAAAATCATAAACTTAACCTGAAAATTTGTTGATAGAAAAAAAAACCACCAATCCGTGCTGGGTCCGTTATCACCCTCCAATCCGCACTGGGTCCATTATCACCCAAAGATCCGCGCTGGATCCGTTATATATATATATGTATATATATTATTATTATTCATGTATTTTGTGACGGATATTGTTCATTGTTTACTAATGAGTCACCAATGACACTTATCGTAACGCAAAAATCATAACACATTCTCCAGTTTACCGTCCAAGTCAAGCGTGCCTAAAGAAGTTTCACTTCAAAAAATCGTTAACAGTTAGATTGAGCAAAGTCATTGTCACTGTCTAATTATCCGTATTTTCGCAATATCCCTTTTTTTTTCAACGGTGAGAAATCCCTTGACGGTCCGTACCGTGCGCTGGCGAGGCCCACGGCGTGTGTGGGACTCACCCGGCGCGGGATACAGCGCCGGTCCTACCCACTAAAACTCACCGGTACCCTCCTACGCCCATGTGGGAGCGTCTCGGGATCGGCGCACCTCTGTGTGCGCCATTTCACCGGGACGCCCCCGGGCCGGCCCGGCCCAACGAGTGGACCGGGCGACACGCCTCTGGGGGATTGCGCTAGGGTACTAGGCAATCCCCAGACAGGGTGGCCTATGCCGAATGGCACCTAGGGCACGCGGCGGCCAAGCCGCGCCCAGACTACCTTCGGGCCGTCGAAGACCGGCAGCCACGGCTGCCTGCCTTCTTCGGCCCACCCGTCTACGTCGGAGGGGAGGGGCTAGAGCGTCCTCCTCTCGCTCCCTCCGCGGCCTCCTTCTGTGTCATCACCGATTCGCAGAAGGAGGCGGCAGCCTTCCAGGCCCTCTCGCTACCAAGCATTAACCATGCTTGGCAACGAAAGGGTCTCTACCGCTGAGCGCCGCAATCAGAGTGCGGCGCTCGTTTGTTTCGCAATATCCCGAGGATTTTCGCGAAAATTCGATTTATCAAATCATCCTACGGCATATAACAATTATAAACGTTGGTATTATATTGTCCGCTAGCGCGGGTCGTCATCATCGGCGGGCGGCGCCTCCATCCGCGGCGGGTCGGTGTCGCCCCCGCTCCCGCCCCCGCCCATGGACGACGAGCTCGTGAGCGACGCCTTCGGGCGCCCGCCCCATCTCTCCGTACGTATGACACAATACAAAATGGATAGATAAAAGAATATAAAGTGCGACAAGGATCTTTATGAATGTAATAAATAAATATTTCCAACACTCACACCAATTAGCCTATGCTCGTATTCATCACACAAACATCTGTGTCATTCTGTTATTTTAGAAGTTACAGGGGGGGGGGGGGGGGGGCACATTTTACCACTTTGGAAGTGTTTCGCGCAAATTTATATTAGAAACGTCAATATCATTTTTGAAGACCATCCTTAGATACCCCACACGTATTTTTTGATTTTGTTTGATTCATGGGTTTGATGAAAACCATTTTTGAGTTTCAAGTATGGGGAACCCCCAAAATTTATTTTTCCATTTTTTCACATTCATGTATTGGTTTACAGAATACTTACAGTTACGAAAAAAAGTGTCTTTGACATACGGAGGGACAGACAGAAAGACATGACGAATCCATAAGGGTTTCGTTTTTTGCAATTTTGTTACGGAACCCTAAAAATATGATGTTTACAAAGTATAGTTCCATTCATAAAGATCTTTGTCGCACTATAAAGGCACTCGTTACTGATATTTTTATTATGTTTATGCAGGAAAACGAGCTGGCAGCCCACTTGAGGGTAAGTGGTCACTCTTGCGTTGCCGGCTCTGAAGGAAAAGGTTTGCCCGCCTTTTGAAGACCGTCATATCAAAGCTAAAAGGGAAAACAGCTGATCGTAACTGGCCTAGACGTCAGATTTTGAATAGGATAAATCTCTAGACACGCCCATCATAGTTACAGTTTATAAAACTTACTAAGATTGCGAGAGACTGGTGAGTAGTGACGAAAGACTGGTCCTCATTACATTGAGAATAACGATAAATTTTAGTTTTACATTGGTGTCGATTCTAGCATGATTCTCTAAACCTAAACTTAAATTGGCAACAATGTATCCTTGACATTCTCTACACAGAATGAGGAGAGACTGATGTTAAAGGACAATGGGCAAAACACACCCAGCTCTGCCAACAACGTAATTAGTATGAATCGATAGATCTATGAAAAACTAGCCTTTTTATTATGACACCGTAAAAAAAAATCCCGTTAGTCAAACAATATGACACATGGGCATATTAAGTAGCTACGTACTAGCTAAGCGTACCATTAATATGATTTTGCATGTAAGGGGTATAAAGTGCTAGTTACGAGTATGTGTGCGTGTGTATGGGAGATTGTAGTGTGTGTGTGATTCTTGTAAATAAATACAACGTTTACTTATGTAATCGTGTGTGGACTGTGCGCCGACCTTCTTATGTTTAAAAGAAATTTAACTATCCCATGCTGTGATTACATTTGTTAGTAACATCTTATCAAACCTACAGCTTGGCCGACAATCCACAAACGTACGTAGTATTCATCTGGGACGACATTATAATCCAGAGGAAACCAAATTTCTAAAAACTAGAAACGGTCTAAGCTTCTTGGTAACTGTCGGGCTGAAAGAGATACTTTAACTTGGTGGCGAGTCACAATAAATCTTTCGCAGTTCCATTAGGACTGTATAGCCCCAAAAATTTGAAATAATTATGATAAAACATCAGACTGGCTAATATTCATCGGCCAAGTATTATACAGGGCGGCCGGAATATTGACGTCCAAAAAAATATTTAGGTCCCTCGTATCGTGGGGTATCCGAATCACCCCTATGTATGTTCCGCGACTTTTTATAGTTTTCGAGTAATGTTTTATTTTCCGAATTTTCGACCTGTTCAACTTAAAAAGAATCTAAAAACAAGTAGAAGACTTCGTATTTTTCTTTTGCAACTGAGTCCTCATTAGTTTTCTTTTACTCTGTATCTATGTAAACAACGTGATGATTAATTATATTTGATGCAGAACAAGATGAACGCTCCGTACACCAGCGCTGTACCGGCTATAGTGCCCGACGAGGAAGATTTGCCTGGTTGGGTCCCCAAGAACTATATTGAAAAAGGTAAGCTTTTGTTACTTAGCAGTTTATTTTCCTTGATTAACTGAATGAGTTTCAAGTGTGATTTTATTATGTTTAAATTGATGTTGTTACCTCTTGCGACCACGGAGCCTGTAACTTGGAACAGGGTCTGAAAAGTCAATGTAAAAAAATAAAAACGAACTTTAAACTTAAAGAAAATGTAACTAGAAAAAAATCCACGCGGACCAGGCAGCATACGGGACTCGAACCCGCACCCTTCGCTATCCGGTCGAATGCACTGACCAATTATGATACCGCGGCCCTGACGGTCACGTCGAAATTCTTCTAGCTATTCTTAAACTGCAAGGCAGCGTCGTCTCTTCGCATTGTAGGCAACCCACAATGTTAAATGAATACTTTTACAAGTATTAAACATTTGAAAGAAGAAATAGTAATTATAGTTACAATTTTTATTTTTAAGCATGTAACTTCTTGATGTTTAAATCTAAAGAAAATGAAAAATGCTTAAAAAATATGGGTGCGTGTACTTAAGTACTCGCGTGAGAAGTTATACTTCTTTTTGGAATTATTAAAAAAAAGATTTTAATTGCATGCAGATAATTAATTACAATAAGATAATAAAAGGATTGGAAAAGGATAGTCAACGCAGTCAATAAAGTTCAGTTTTAATTTGAAAAATTTAATAAATAATCAAAATATTCAATTTAAATCACTACTGAATAAAATTTATTAGCACATATAAATTTCGCATTTGTATAACATTATAACACGTGTTAAGAATATAGAAACTAGAAACATGTGTATAAATATTATAAATATGAAAACAGTGATCAGAGGCGACGAGCGTCCCAACATGTGCGACTAAGAGATCCTATTACTATTTTGTTGGAACTTTTTTTTCGAGACTTACGAGTAATGTGCGGTTTAGCGGCCGACTTCATAGTGTTGCGCGCGCATCTTAAAATTTCACTCTCATCATTTTTTCATAACGCACCCGCGGCTAACTTCATTATGTTACTTTTGTGTTACAGTGATGCGCGCGCATCTTAAAATTTCACTCATATTTTTTTCATAACGCGGCTAAAGAAGTATAACTTCAAAAATTAGAGTTTTAAAATTATTTATGAAGTTAAGGAAAATTATACTGGCTTAAAAATTCCATTGTACTCCTGTAATTCTGTCTGAGGCCTGTACTAATAATAATATTTGGATCACAAAATAGGCATGTTACATTTAATTAATCCCTGCGGATTGTTGTAGTTAAAACTGTGTTACAGGCTGCAGTACTTATTGTGTTTTTTCTAGTAAAAATTTCGTTCAAAAAGTGTTTAAGTAAAACATTTTTTTTTCAATTCTTGCAGTGGTAGCGATATACGACTACTACGCCGACAAGGAGGACGAGCTGTCGTTCCAAGAAAGCGCCGTGATCTACGTACTGAAGAAGAACGACGACGGGTGGTGGGAGGGCGTCATGGACGGGGTCACCGGCCTCTTCCCCGGCAACTACGTCGAGCCCTGCGTTTAAATACAAATAGTACGAAGATCTTCGCTTTTGAATACTGATTCCGCTGCAAATGCTACGCAGATCTTGCTGTTTATGAGTAATCTTATCGAGAAAATTCCTTATGTCCCACCTTATTTGGTAGGTTCGTGCGTCCTTTATAGTTGTCCATTAGAGCGGGCGCATATTAAACCAGTAAACGCGTCCACAGTCTGCGGTAGAGTTTTTCATACATCTTGTATAGTATCGGCGCAAACTTAGCATTCGAGTGGCTGCGTCTAGTGGCTTGACGGGGCCACTAGTGGCTCAATGTGCGCTTGCTCTTAGTCATGTGATGTTTTTAGCACATTTTTGTCAATGGTTGTCGCCACGCTATGTGATTCATGAGGGGCAGAAACACCAGCCTCTTTACCGACGTCGAGCCCTGCGTTTAGATACCGATAATCTTGCATTTGAAGACTAATTTCCTTCATATCCCACCTATTTTGTTCAATTCGTATGTCTTTTGTCAATGAATCGGTTGTCCCAGTCAATTTTAGGATTCATGGCAATGGCTGGGCTTGTGCGTGCACAACAGAACGACGGGATAGACGGAGATTTTTGAAGTGAAACTTCTTTACGCACGCTTGACTTGGGGGGCAAGCTGGCGAATGCGTTACGCGTTACGAAAAGTATGTTCGGGCGAGGCGAACGGGAGTCGAGTGGGGGATAAAAGCAAGAGAAAGCTTTCTATTATACATGTTTATATTGTACACACATATATATATATATATACATATAGATGGAGCTAAAGAAGTTTCACTTCAGTCGTGTGGTCATAAGCACACTCGTTTTTTTTATTGCCTTCGTAGGCAGACGAGCAGACGGGCCATCTGATGTTAAGTGGTCACCGTCGCCCATGGATGTAAGGGCTATAACTATAGCCAAAAGCAGTCCCGATAGGAGGTAGGGGCCCCAGCGATGCCCAGTGACGTAGCCGTGCCGCTGACTTTCGTGGAACACTATTTAAGCCTTGAAGAGGACCATGCTAAAGTAATAAGGGAACACCATGGAGGGGAGCTCATTCTCAATAACGATGGGGCCCTAGCCTAATAAGATATATGTTTTAGAACAATTTTCCTGCTACCAAGTAAAGGATTCAAGAAAAAACCTTACAAGAGTTGGTGTTTGACTTTTTATATTTAAGCATAATATAAATACTTTTATAAGTAGTTTAAGATTCTTATTATCAATGTATTATTATTTAGAAGCTGTCGTATCTAGTGTAACTTACTTTTATGTCAAATCATCGAAAACTATTACTGAAAAATCATGTATATACGCCTACTATTTTGCTATATAATGTTTAGTTAAATCTTTATTTCATAGGTACAATTATTATTTTGATGTGTAAGATCATAAAGATTTTATAAATAAAACAAATTATAGATGTACTTAATGTCTGTATTATTGCGATCCTCTTAATTTATTAAATACAAACACATGGTCGATTGGAACTACACTCCAAATAATGAAATCAATTCTGATAATCTCTTCTCCTGGAAAACATTGCTGTCATACATATTAAAATTGTAGATTCGCTGACAATATTGAAACACCATTGTGTTCTACTGTCTTTCTTTACAATACAGAACTAGCTTACAATTAATAAAGTAATCGAACCCAGAATATAATCTAAAATAGTCTTAATCATAATAAGTTACATGACTAAATACTTAAAAGAATATTAATTAATGTCGACCTAGGGGTCAATCGCCTAATGGCGTTGCTCTGGCTATCGCTTACGATTTCTTTATTATTTCTGACCGCCGAAGGTTTTCAAATGCCTCGCGATTCTTTTTTTTTCTTTTGCATTGGTAATAACAATATTAAAGAAAATGAGCGTGAGTTATTTGAAAAACCTTTGGCAGTCAAATATAACAAAATGAAATCGCAGCAATAGCCATAGGAATCCCGTTAGGCAGCCCCCTGATCTAGAAGTTTTAACTTGTTACTATACAAAATATAGCTTTTAAACTGTATTTATCCATCTGATAAATTGTACAGTTAGAGCACTATATCGATTCTATCATTATTCCTTATCATCTAAATCCATGTTCTCCGAGGTTGTTATATCACTATCTTTGTCCTTGCTGTCTTTTGCAACTTCAGTTTTAGTTTCAGATTCTTTTGGAGAGCTTTCTTGTTTTTCTTCCTTTACTTGATCTGATTTTTCATCAACTGCTTGTTTCTTCACTTCTTTCTCCGCCCTGATAAAAGTTTTAATTTTTATAAGTACAATAAGTTTTTTTATAATTACTATAGGCTAGTTGACACTTTTTGGTAATATGTTTTATATGGATAATGTTCTATTAGATCGAAAAAACTGTATTGTATTTTTTTTGACCTAGAAAACTACAAAACTTTAATTTTAAAATAGATTTTTTAATGGAAATACAAAAACGCTGTCGGCCATTTTAATCTATAGATTATCTATGCTATGACGTCAACAAAATTGTAATCAAACGTTCGGAAGCACGTAGGAAATAACATGAATCTGAATTTTTATTGTAAAACCATGATTTCTTATCAATTTCATGATAAATAGAGTAATTACCATGATTGTATTTTACGACAATGTAGAAAAATATCGTTAAAGACTCCAGAAAAGTTGTGGTTTAAATTGCTTAGAAAAATAAACATACCTATGAACACACATGAACACGTGTTCCGGCGTCCAGCAATAATTTAGTCAACAAAACCAATTAAAGGAACCTATTCTACAAGATATAAGGGCTTTTAGATATATTTTAGTCAGACGAAAGATAGCACAGTAACAGATACGACTATGACGTTTACTTGTTTACAAATTTTTTGTTGTCACAATCACGGTGGACAGCGTTTTTAGTGTTTAAAAAGCATAAGACTAAAAAACTACTTTTTAAATTAAATTACTACAGCCATCTCCTAATTTTGTGAAGTGAATAGCAATTTGACATGAGTCAACAATATTAGACTATTACGATTTGAGACAAGACTTTTTTATAATATTACTAGCGGCAGCCAATGTGTTAGTCCGCATTAACTTTTTTAAAAATACCTCAGGAACCTAACATTTTTCTGGGATAAACGTATCCAATATCTCATTCCAGGCCATAAACTATATATGTACCTAATTTCCTCCAAATCCGTTCAATAGTTTTTGCGTGTTTAAGTAATAACCATACAAACTCTCACATTTATAATATAAGTAAGATAGGATAGAACTTACTTGGCTGGACCGTTGACAATCTCAACAACATCATCATCCTCATATTTGATGTTGACGACAGCTTCTACTTTAGATTGGATGCTCTTCAATGTGGAATGGAATATTTTCGAGCTCGCCTGCAATATAAAAATTAAGTTGTGTTTAATAATGATTCCACATCATAATAAAACTGACCGAGATGAGAATGAATATATCGGGAAAATGTTGGATACATATTATTAAAGTTGCATGCCACTATATAATAAGAAGAGCATAAAAAAATGGTTGCCTGTAAAGTCGGTTTTACGGGCGAAGATTTTACGTGACAACGTCTTTTTCTCGGTAGAATATTTATTGATATGAATATAATTAAATTGCACAATAGGAACAAGGAATTGAATGAAAATAAGAATTGCACAAATTTTAACTATAGAAATATATTTTGTTTACTAAAACATTGTACATGTAAACTTAAACTTAACACGAGAGACTCATCGTAACGTTACCGAGCGTTACACTTTTTCATAAGTGACTCCCAGCCGCAACCTAATTTAAGACGTTGTCACGTCAAAACTGCCATACAGACAATTCGGTAATAAAAACAGGGGTAGTGGTTTCCCGATTTTCTTTTTAGAAAGCTGTGCTAACTACTCCAGCCCAATCTAGATTAGTGTTATATGACTGCATTCTATTGTGAGCAGAAGGATTACTACAGACTAGTTCTTAAATTCGTTCACTATAGGCCACATCGAACCAAAGTATTTCAGATTGAAAACAGCGAACGATAGACCGTGGCGTATTGGTGCAAATGGAGTAGCTCGGTGGCGCAGGCGGTTAGCGCGTTCTGTCTGCTAACTTTCATGATGATGTTAAGCAACTTTCGCAATGGTTTGTCATTGAATGGGTGACCGAAAACTTATCATCTCGAGCTCCTCCGTGCATCGGAAGGCTAGTTAAGCTGTTGGTTCCGGTTACATTTGCAGTCGTTAGCACCAACCGATCCGCACTGGGCCGCTGGTGGGTCACGGCGGTCGGCGGAACTCCTGTGGCCCAGCAGTGGGGACGTTTATAGGTTGATGATTTATTGGCGCGCCAAGATCCTTTTATAAGTATGAAACGGTTAGGGTTATATGCATCGTGAAGACACCGTATAAAGACATGTGCTGGTCGAGTGCCTCGAGCATGTACCAGAGCGAATGCAACCCGCGCAACTAAGGCGCTGTGTCCACCTAAAGGCGAAATGAGACGGTTCATCAAGTGTTTAATTTTTGCATTGAATAGTGATAACCATTGTTTGTATAAACGCTATTGATGAAAGCTGATATTCCATTCCTTGTGGAATTCCCGCATGGACATCGTCTGTGTCGAGTTTTTAATAAAGGCTAAATCCCTAGACAGTGAAAGAAATGAACTGTGAATGAGCTATCGTTGTTTAGGTATTTCACTTGTCATTCAGTGCCGATGAATGATCGATGCTAGTGAAAATAATGCGATTCAAATAAGAATAGGAAAGCCATCTGTCAAATGTCGCCTGAAAAGTACGGTTTGCAAAAAAATCTCGGAACACTTTTTTAGCACTCAGCTGATTCTAGAATAAAAACCAAGCATTTTTAAACAAACAATAACAAATGTTGATCATTAATATTAGTTGCTTTTTTTTTCATTTATTTAGCTTTGGCTATTAATGGTTGATAACCTAAATTGTCAACCAAATGTCACATTATCATTTATTTTCCAAAATTCAATTTAAAACTTTCGTTTACTTATAGGATGGATGTTCGTATGTGACCTGCATGATTATTCATAACTTCTCCGGCGGTAATGCAGAGTTGAGCGATATTGAAGAGCTAGATTCTTATTAATGTTTTTTTTTTCACATAGTCTTAATAAAGAAATACTATTAAAAAATGGTTGCCTGTAAAGTCGGTTTTACGGGCGAAGATTTTACGTGACAACGTCTTTTTCTCGGTAGAATATTTATTGATATGAATATAATTAAATTGCACAATAGGAACAAGGAATTGAATGAAAATAAGAATTGCACAAATTTTAACTATAGAAATATATTTTGTTTACTAAAACATTGTACATGTAAACTTAAACTTAACACGAGAGACTCATCGTAACGTTACCGAGCGTTACACTTTTTCATAAGTGACTCCCAGCCGCAACCTAATTTAAGACGTTGTCACGTCAAAATCGATTGTGTTCTTTATCAACCTTAGTAAATTAATTTACTTAATCTTAGTAAATACATAATATATTTTTTTTTACAATTGTAATTTCCCTCATTTCTGTTCTGTGTTGTGGTGTTTTCAATAAAGTATTGTGTATTGTATTGTGTATTGCATTGTAAATAAGGTTCATTAAATAGCAACATTTTTTTGCTCACTCTACCTATTTGGTTTGAAATGACAGCTATGACGTCAAAATATGGCGCCCAGTCGATCCTATTCTTAGTTGAATCGCATTATACACAAAATACAAAGGTCAACGTTCATAAACTACGATCCAGGTGCAACAAATGTCAGATGTGACAAAAGTTTCGTACATTTTATGTCAAAATTGAAACATCAGAGTGAAAAGTTGTACACGGAACGTAGGTTTGAAATGGAGCCCCCGCTAGTGAGTTGATAAAAAAATTGCCAATGAAACAGTAGCCTGTCTTGACCCGCGCGGGGGAGGGGGAGTGGGGGTGGGGGTGCACTCTGCTCACGCGAGTAACACGCATCTTGCTCCAGCTTCTAGGTCGGACACCTGCTCCAGTGCCGCCTCCAGCCGCGAGCGGTGCGCTGACCCGCGCGTTCTACTTGCACCGTATATACGTGCGCGTACTTACCGTGAGTGAGGCGATGCGCGCGCGGGCGGCCCCCAGCGTGGCGCTGAGGTCGGACACTTGCGCGTGCGCGCCGCGCTCGGCCTGCTGCGTGGAGGCGGCGGCTGCGCGCGCGGCCTTGAGCGCGGCCCGCACCTGCTCCAGCGCTGCCTCCAGCCGCGCGCGGTGCGCCGACCCACGCGACTCTGCGGCCACTAGCGCGCCCACGTCGATCACGCGAGACTTGTACATTACCACGCCTGAACAAAAAAAAACACATACGACTACTTTAATAGGGTATTTTACAGTATCTATACATATAATAAAACGGTAGGAAAGTCAAAACTGTACATTGAATATTTTCTTAAAAGAATACTTGGGGTGTGATCTACAATTGATACTGAAGCCAACAATATAGTTTTTAGAATTTTTGTCTGTTTGTCTGTATTGTTCTCCGGGGTAAACTCAAAAAGTACTGCATTTAATTCAAATTTGGCACGAAAATTATTAAGAAGTCGGGTCCACATATACGCTACATCAGGGGTGCTCAAACTTGAACGATCTACCTCAAAATTTTTAGACTACTTACGATCGACTCTGAGGGGCTGCAAGTATGTGTGATGCAGGGTTGTCGTACATACACGATACACCCCACCTACCTACCCTACCTAGGTAGGATGTACCGTAGCATATATAGATATTCGTAGGTCGATCGCGATCGACCGTTTGAGCACCCCTGGGCTACATATTATCACGCCTACACCTACGGGGAACGAGCAGTGAACCTTTATTTCTAACTAACTCCACGCGTACGAAGTCGCGGGCGGCCGCTAGTGGAAAATACTATACCAATTGTTGGCATCTGTATTTAATATGAATATTAGCAACGATTTTACTAATCTAAAAGAACAAATAATTAATAACTTTTCTAAAAAATCATTTAATAGAAATTATTTTTTGCGCTCAATGGTCACGTGAGCGAAAATGCCTGGGATTGGCCAAGATTAAAATGACGTCACACAATAGTATATTTCCGGCCAGAGTGACATTACATTATATCGTTTGACGGTTTTAATAAAAGTCGTGTGACGTCACACACTAGTGATACTTCATAATTGATCAGAGAAACGTTATCGCGGCAACTTAAAAATTTAATTAATTATTGAGTTTTTTTACTGAATTACACAACAGAATTTAAAATATTCACTTTTTATGGACTCCATAAACATTACTAAATAAAGTGAGATCGTTTTTTAAAACTTGTCAAATACCCTATTGGAGCTGGGGTAGCGGGACTGTAGCTATCCCTCAGGCGTAAAATAGGCACTAACCCCCTTATTTATAAACAAAGACTACGCTTGGATTAGTTACTCCATGTTTTGTCTCGGTCTATTGAATGACAAATGACATTTGAGTGACATGAACAAAACACGGAGTAATTAGTCTAAGCTTAATCCTTCTTTGTAATAATAAGGGGGTAAGTGTCGAATTGCGGAAAACTACTTAAAGAGTCTACGTTGTGTAAGCCCTTGAAGAAGTAATGCGACATGCTGAAGATGAACGAAAAAATTTGTGGCAATGTGATAAAAGTTTCATTTAAAAAATGGGTACTTTAATTAGAGCTCCGAACTGAAGCACACATGGAGCGCACACTAGTGGGGACTAGTCCGCATCACTCAAATTTTGTTTGGCATCAAAATCGCCCATGTGTCCATTAAGGGATTGAAGTTCACAAATTCACACACAAAAGTAAAAAATAATCCCCCACCTCACAACTTTTCTATTGCTCGAATTTAATATAAATAAGATAACAATTATTAATTTTTTAGACAGAATGGGAAGTTTGTTTTAAATACACAAGCAGGGCAGGCGGGGGCTATGGCCCCCACAACAGAGTTAAAAAACAAATAAACTACCAACAATCTCTCTCTCTCTTTCTCCGAAATGAACTTTCAATAACGAAGTTCAAACAAAATTTAATTTATTTTATTCTTAGGTTTTCACGCACATCACTCATTAAATAAAACTAGTTTTTACGGGTTAATGCACGAAACTTTATTTATTTATTGACGTTTCGTAGCCTTTACAGGCTACGTCGTCAGAATCAAACTTTTATTTAATTTGTCGAGTTACCTTCGAAAGACTTTTATTGAGCGTTCGGTTATTTCATTGTCCGATTTTTAAAGTTTTATTGTCTATATATGAATTAATTATTTAATTTACTTAATAAAGTATTTTATTTAAAATTCCTTTTTGTAATTTTAAGTTTATTTATTTGACCTTAACTACCGTAAACTACCACCGGTTCCAAAAGTGGGAGACCTTTCTGAGAAGAACCGGCAAAACAAACTCAAGAGAGGCTTTCTATCTCCTTCTTATGTTAAATTATGCAAACAAAAAGAACTAATAGTATCTGTTGGTCTTGCAGTGTGTCCTCGGGGTTGGGATTTTATCTCCTGTATAATGGGTTCCCAAGCTGGTGGTATATACCAACCATCTTCCCTATTGAAATTTGGATATTTTTTAATCTCAATAGCCTCGCGTATTATTCTAGGAACGAATCGCTGCTCAGTTGCCAGGATCTGTGGTTTATCAAATCTAATGTAATGGTTTGGTCTCCCTAATGCATGTTCACACACTGCAGACTTATTTTCGCGCCTATGTTTCATATCTGCGATATGTTAAATTTAATTTCGTAAATTTAAGGTTCTACTTAATTTAAATTAACTATAAAGTATTAAATTGAAGCTTTCTTTGAGTGGGCTTAGAAAATCTACATCTCAATCTATATTCCGACGACAAAAAAACGAACCAGAAACATAGTAAGAAAAGTGCGAAGTTTCGATCGAAATTTCGTTTTTCGTTGAATTAGAGAAGGCCTCCAGGCCGTGTGCAAATCGTAAATGGCTTAGAGGGTCGGATTTTAAAATACGTTTTTGTTAGGGGCTTCCAAACCTTTGTTACCCCAGCCCCACACCTCGAAATCTGGCTTTGTATAGAAGCCAATATTTGGTATAGTATGATGCAATATTAATGAATAAATGAGATGTTTGTATACTCACCAGAATCACTAACATCTTTAGTTTCTCCAGAGCCCTTCTCTTCGCCCTCACTGGGCCTATTGAACACTGGCAAAAGGTTCCTGTTACCTGCTGCAATAGCAGCCTCCAATTCAGCAATCTACGTAATTAAAAATTATAATCAAATCAGATGAAAATAAATATCTGACTAAACACATCTTCACAAGAATATTTCGTTTTGGTTTACATTTTCAAAAGTGATGGGCGAAGATAACATTCATATTAGACCTTGTACCTTAACAAGTTTTAAAAAGTGATGCTGCCGCGCCGCCACGGCCTAATGTATAAATAAATACTCGCAGTAGGTTTTTTTTGTAGTTCTATTTCCTCGGACTCAATTCAGACACATTATAATATCTTTGTATTTTCCTCGAAGTAGGTAAATTAATAATTCCTAATTTTTTATAATTATATGAAGCTAACTGAGATACTTACATGAGGCGGGACTTCTGTGGATGCTACAGTTGAATCTAAAGGCAAGTCTTGCATTGCTTCTGAAGTGCCTGAAGCTAGATCTTTTATAGCTTGGGTGAGATTTCTGCAGAAAATAAAAAAACAATATAATCATCATGAATAAAGGTTAAAATACAAGGTACAATAATACAATATTTTTTGTTTTTTTTTTCTGCCAGTAATTAAAATGTTAAATATTACAACGACACCCTAGAAGAGAAAAAAAAACTCACTTGTAGCTGAAGTTGTCTTTGACACAAACTTTCTCGAGCACAGCTCTGATTTGGGAGCGGGACAGGGCCAATCCGAGACTCATGAAAAGGTTTTGTAGGTCGTTCTTGGAGATATTGCCTCCACGAGAGGTGTCGAAGTACACGAGTGATAGCAGTAAGTATGGGTCAGGCGGCAGTTCTACTCCGCGGCTGCGGCGACGCGGAGAATTGCTGCGGTCGTCGTCGCTGTGAGAATCCTGGTGGAAAGATGAAATGCTTTATTTATATAAATATACTAGCGGCCGCCCGCGACTTCATACGTGTGGAGTTAGTTAGAAATAAAGGTTCACTGCTCATTCCCTGTAGGTGATAGCGTGATAATATGTAGCCGATAATATGTATATGTTGAGCCAACTTCTTAATAATATTCGTGCCAAATTTGAATTTACTTCAATCCAATCCAATCCATGCAGTACTTTTTGAGTTTTTCCTGGACATACATACAGACAAAAATTTTAATAACTGTATTTTTTGCTTCGGTATCTATGGTAGATCACACCCCAATTATTCTTTTAAAATATATTCAATGTACAGTTTCGACTTTCCTACCATTTTATTATATGTATAAATATGGTATGAACAGTGGCAGGGTATTGAGTGTGGTTCAATATTATTTGGCAAACACGATATATAAGAATTGGAAGTATAAAACAACTGAATAGTCCAACATTTATTGTTCTACCAACATTTCAGGATTTCTTTAAGCTATGGAGAAGATTATGGCGAATTAAACTCTACACTACATGGTAGAAATAGAAATGACATTAAAAAAAGATGTCATTTCCATAAGTAATGACTCATTTATTACAGAGTAAGTAAATGTAAGAGGAGCTCGATGGCGCAGGTGGTTAGCGCGTTCGGCTGCGATCGTTGAAGTTAAGCAACTTTCGCAGTGGTCGGTCATTGGATGGGTGACCAAAAATTTACTATCTCGAGTTCCTCCGTGCTTCGGAAGGCACGTTAAGCCGTTGGTCCCGGTTGCATCTGCAGTCGTTAGCACCCGCCAATCCGCACTGGGCCCGCGTGGTGGGTCATGGCCCAATTTCCCTATTCCATCCATAGGGAAGGCCTATGCTCCAGCAGTGGGGACATTAATAGGCTGATGATGATGAAGAAAATGTTATCAAGAATTACCTGTTTTATAGTAGAAATAGTGCAAGATAAGTAAGCTATATATTTTTAGTTTAGGAAATGTGATGTCACATGCCACAACTGGGGCCTTCTAGCAAATGGGATTTACACAATATTCCTGTATTATATATACTTTTGAAATACACAATTCAAGGCCACTCACTTATTTACTAATGTTCATGGAGTTCATAAAAAGTGAATATTTCAGTAAAAAAATACTAAGTGTAGTATATCACTGGTATGTGAAGTCACAAGACTGTCATTAAAACTTCAAACGATACAATGTAATGTCACTTTGCCCGGAAGTTAACTAGTGTCTTACGTTGTTTTTAACCAACTTCAAAAAAGGTGTAGGTTCTATGTTCGACTGTATAAATACATAAATATTTTTTAATATATGTTCACCGATTTCTCCGTCAATTGTGGACCAATTTCCAAAATTCTTTTTTTATTCAGAAGAGTGCATGCACTTCAACAAAAAATAAAACCAAGTTCAAAATCGAAAATGGAAGTAAAAAGTAAAAAATAATATCTGGTTCATGATTTGGAAGTCAGGCGGGGTCAAGATTGAAACATTAAATAGATTTTCGTTTCTGATCGGTAATAATTCGTCTTTCAATCTGGGCCCACCAGAAAATATTTCAAATTAATTAGGAAATGATTTTGTGAAGCCTAGTAGCAGGTAAAGGTAGTTTATTTTTGTTTCTTGTATTAAGTGTGTGAACATCACTGTTTTAAAAAAACAAATTAACATTTTTTCTTACAAGTAATAAATTTTCGTATTATGTATTCTGATGCAACCGTCATTATGCCAAATTCTTTAAACCTATCTCTAAAGGAATCCTTAACTTGAAGATTATAAATAGATCGCATAGCTCTCTTCTGCAGCACAAAACACAACAAAACACAATTAATGATTTTTTAGAAAAGTTATTATTTGTTCTCTCTGAATAAATAATTGTTTAATATGAATATGAGCATCGATTTTACCACTGCATGCTGCAAATATAGATGCTTATAATTTGTACTTTATGTTTCATACTGTAGTGTTTGTTTTTAAACAGAGCGTGACACTGACACACGTAGGACAGCTGTTTTGTCTATGATAGCGAACCGCTTACGTCAGCGTAACTGTCAAACTTCATTGATTGGGTTGGTAGCCTTGAGGGAAGAGTCGATTTTCCTATTCGACTAAAATATTCGCCTTGAGACTTATAAAAAAAAAAAAAAAAAAGTAATCAGGCGGTGAATCTCTGTGGGGGCGCGTGGATGAATGGATGGAGTTTGACAGTTGTTGAATTTTGAATAGTCTTTCCCAGATCGATTTGAGTCCTCCTTATCGGGTGCTGTTTTTAGTCGATTTTGAATTTTACTCGAAATTGAATTTCCTCGCTGATTTGGGTAGGTGTTCCCTTTTCCTCAGCTTACGGCGAGCGTAGGTATATAGTTTTGAGTTTATTCTTCGGTTCGTCTCGAATGCGGCGGCTGTCTGTTTGACTGTGGCCTTTGCCTTCAGTTGAAGTGGGAAACAAATCATAGACACATGTTTGGGAGTGGACGACCCGTCTATCATCTATGAGCAATTGTAAAAACAACTTTTAAAATTTCACAATCTGTTTGTGGTACAGTTAACTTTTCATCTTTTCTTCTGCCCAAAGTATAATAAAAGGCATATTATTGTCGTCGGAGTCGTGAGATAGATCCGAAAAGTTTATATCCCGAAGGATATTGGCGGAAAAAGCGCGGAGTCGCTAACCGAACTGAGTTTCGTAGGTGGACGAACACGAACCTTCGCAAGGCGATTGCAATAATAAGGCGGTAACTTGTGATAGGAAACAAAATACTTACGGATAGTTTCATATTTCGAACGGCTTGTACGTTCCCCTCAAGAAATACTGGAGGAATAACAAGGAGACTTTTGTTCTGTACACGGACCAGAAGGGACGCGGGAGTTTATTTGCCAGCCGCTCTCCGGTTTTATGTAACCCGGCCGTAACAGCAGACAGATTATACACAGCTAAACCTATCATAATCAAGGTATTTCTCTACTAACCCCGGGTGAACGTGGAAAGGAACCACCAGGCGAGGTTGGACCCCGACTTACCCATTTCCATATATTTACATATCTCTATATAACTGGTTATCTCGCTGAGAACTAGAATTAACTAAGTTTGTCACCAATATCGATCAAACGAGCCGTAGAACCTCTGAAATCCACTAAATAGCTTATTCAGTCTAGTCTATGTGGTATTTGTGGATGAAATATATTAGTAAGTATTATATTGTAAGTACTTGGTAAAGTGTTATGAATGTCTGATATTCATATAATTATAACCTTTCATGACAACTTGTTGGTTTATATACACATTAACTTTGAACTACTGTATTCAGCTTAGATATTTATAATTAGTGAAACATAGTTATTATATAAATAATAAACATAGTTAGACTTGTTGATTTATATAAGCAATAACTTAAAACTACTGAATTCCTATGCTTTGGTATCTAAAGTGGATAAAATATACTTATAACATTATCTTAATTTTTTGGTTTTCTTTTATTGTTCCCCCGGTGCTCTGAGTGAGCGAGAAGAGGGCTGTTGAGGGGAATTTAACATCACAATACTGTCACATAGCTTAACAAATGGAAATTAATAAATACAAAAAAATATATAGCTACATATAACTTTTTATCCAGATAAAACTTTTTTTAAAGAAATTCCTACATTATCAGTAGAGGAAATACTTACGCGGCGCCGCCTTCCGTCCCGCTTGTCGTCGCGGCGGTCGCTTTTCTCTTTCTCATCCTTTTTATTATCATCTTTTTTCTCACTCTCTTTTTCATCCTTTTTCTCATCTTTCTTCTCACCTTTCTCTGAATTTTTGTCACTCAAATCTACTACTACTTTAGGCTCTTCTACCTTCTCAGGCAAAGTGTATAGTGTCTTGTAGATGTAAAAACCGAAGTCGCGCATCAACATCTCATTGAACAACTCGGCGAATACGAAAAGCTGTAATAGGAAGATTACATGAATTATTTTTAACCATCAATAAATAAATAGCTGATAGTATCGTAGTAATATAAATAGTGTGTACTATTAAATTAAGTGCAAATGTAAAGAGCTGTAAAATCTTAGTCACTGTACCCTTAGTACGAGTTTTACAATTACGTAAAATATGATAGTTTTCGTGGGCTCAAACTCGTACTAAGGGTACTGTATGCATTAAAAATAGGTATTATTATTCATAGACAAATAATGTGTTCAAAATTTTGGACACAAACATATAAATAAAGCACGACTTGTAGCAGATCATAGCATTTTCTTTATTCTATATAAATACAATTTAGTGATAAAAGTTAGGATGTGTTATTTAGTTCTAATTACCAAAAAAAAAATTTTCTAGATCATGTATCTAAATCTGTAGTTCTTAACCAGTGGTCCACAAAGCCATTCGAAAAATTTTTAATTTAAAGAATGGTATTTACAAATTCTAGGAGAGGGTGTAAGTCATAAGTGCTGGACCATGGCAAGACGGAAATTTTGACAAATGGGACAAATCTTCACTACAATGTTAACTGATCTAAAGCAACTAATAAAAAAATCTATTTAGTAATTACATTTTCTATCTCTATATACATACCTCGAAGCTATGTTCTTTGTTGTCAGTGATCCTATAGTCAAGAAGCAGAGATAACGTAGCCACGTTGCAAGTAAACTTGCCGCCCTTTGCGCTCTGCGAGGGATGTACTATAATGTGCGGTGCACTCGGCAGCTCATATCGAGATTTCACAAGTTTCTTCTCCTTTTCCAGCTAAACAACAATAGAGGCATATGTATACTATTATAACACAATAATTTTAGGGGGAAAAGTAAAGCAAATATGAACAAATAACTTATAAAAAATACCTGATTATGATATTTTACTACAGGTATCCTTATATCATAGTAAATCTTAAAGTGTAAAAACATTAATATAAAATTTATAATAAAAAATAAAATAAAATATTTATTATAATAAAAAATAAAATAAAATATTTATTATAATAAAGTATATACAGTGGTGGTTACATAATTAAAGACACCCCCTAATTAACCACAAAAAAGTTACTTATGGTACTAACATTAGCTAAAATTGGTACTTAATTCAGTTTAATCGTTATTAAACCATACACGACGGCGTTGTATTCTTACAACGTGGGACAAAAAATAGTTGTGTTCGTTAGTAGTTTAGACACTGCTCACTATGGGAACGTAACACCAACTTTTTACGTATTTATAGCTGGCCAACTAATTAAAGACACTCGATTTGCTCAGAAGAAACCAAAAAAAAATATTGTTATTTTTGAAATATAAAATATAATAAAGTTATAATTACACATTCCTAACACATTTATGAAACTTTCTGGTACGTATCAATATTTGGTTGCATGTCCTTTGGCACATTTTTGCCAAAGGACATCTTTTGGGCATGGAAGCTATAAATTTTTTACAAGCTTTTCTAAAAGCTGTGTAAAGTTGATTGATGTTTGATGTCCGTTTTGTTGCCACTGTCTTCTTCACCTGGTACCACAAATTTTCTATTGGGTTCTAAATCAGGACTGTACAGGGGCCAATCCAAAACTGTCACAGACTGGTTCCTTAAAAAGTCTTTTATTACTTTTGCAGTGTGTTTCGGATCATTATCCTGTTGGAAAGTCCAAATGACCCGTAAATTTTAGGTAAATTAAAGGGCAGCATGGCTTGTTCTAAAATATTCCTGTACTGAAATTTATCCATGTTGCCTTCTATTTTCCTGACAGATCCAACACCAAGTCCTTAGAAACAGCCCCAAACTTTGATATTTCCGCCCCCATATTTAACTACTTTCTTGGTATACTTTGGATCCATTTCTTTGTACAGGGAGCGCCTAACATATTGTTTTCCGTCAGAATTAATCATATTAATTTTTGTTTCATCAGATAAAATCACATGTTTCCATTTTGGTTCAGTCCAGTGTACATATTATTTAGCAAATGCTAATTGTGCCTTAACATTTTGCTTCTTCAAAAGTGGCACCTTCCGAGACACTCTTCTGTACAAGTTTGCCTCACATAGTCTCCATCTAATTGTTCTTGCAGACACACCCTTCGACCCTCCTGCACCAAACAACTCCAAACGTATCAGTTCTGATCCCTTGAACGGATCTTTTTTTGCCAACAACACCATCTCAGTCTTCCTGCAGAGTAGTTTTTCTTGGTCTCGGTTTTCTTAGTATGTTTTCTTTCGTGTTGAACTTCTTGAAATGTTTTATAGCATTCATAACCATGTTCTTAGAACAGTTCAAGTGGTTTGCTATTTTTCTGACCAATCTTTATTATGAAAGTTGAAAATAATCTTCCTAGTGGACGAAATTCAACTCTTGTTTTTTCCCATATTGCTGGGTTTAAAACGTATTAATTTTAATAAAAAAAATAGGTTTTATATGTACCTAATATCGACTTTTCATGAAAATATGTGGCAAAACAAAGAAAAAAAATTTTTCTTTATTTTTTTAAATTCAGAACATAGCTTTTACTGTCTATAATTACCTGGCCAGCTACAAGTACGTTAAAAAAGTTTGTGTTATGTTCCCATAGTGAGACCTATTTTTTGTCCCACATTGTAATACAACGTCATGTATAGTGCAATAACAAATACACTAGAGAAAATAGCAATTTAAGCTAATTTTAGTACCATAAGGAAGTTTTTTGTAGTAAATTAGGGAGTGTCTTTAATTATGTGACCACCACTGTATAATTATATGAAAAAAGTATAGAAACGTTAATTAATTCTTGTGAATAATAATGTTTGCTTCAAAAATGTAAGTAAAATTTTATATAAATTATGTTAACCCAGTTTACCTTCCTTTTTTCTTCCTCCAGCTCTTTCTCAGTCTTTTCTGGTTTTGGTTCTTCTTTCTTCTCTTCTTTGTTTTCTTCTTTCTCTTCTGCTTCTTTTTCCTTTTCCTTAGTTTCAGGAGCCTGTTTTTCATCCTGTTTCTCAGTTTGTTGTCCATTGGTTTCCTTCTTTTTTTGATCTTCATCTTCTACTTCCATGACATCATCACCTTTAGATTCTTTTTCTTCTTCTGCTTTAATAAGTTTTGAAAGTCGAGAGACCAGTTGCGCACGCAATCCTGAAATTACATAATCCAATAAGTTCCATACATAGGTAAAAAACTACTTTAGTTACTTTTTAGGTTTTTTACTAAACTTACCTTTACAACTGACATTACGTGCCCTTAGTTCCTCTCTAAGCTGATCCACTTTAATAGTTTTTAGATCAATTTTAGAATAATGAGTTGGTTCAGGTTTACTCTCTTCATCATCATTTTCGTCAATGGTTATCATACTATCATTGACATCAGTATTTTCCTAAAAACGTTTTACTACAATTATTATTCACATCATAAAAGCAAAAATTAAGTAGATGAAAAGGGATTTAGAAACTTGTCATTTAGTATTTAATTTAAAGCAAATCATAAAACTTTATAAGAATAATACGACTGCTATTTGGGAGGAAATTTATATAGAAAGAGAATTGTCATCCATGTTTGAATGCGTTTGAGACATCCAAAAAATGGAATGGAGTCTGGCAGCTCGGTCGAGTTCTTCAATTAAGTAGCAGGCGCAGCCGGAAACATAACCAAAGAAAACTGGGAACAAACAATTTGTGATTTCTCCACTGCTGGCGCGGCGTCCGCTTCCGCCGCCACTGGCACCGAAGGAGTCTGCGCCGTCGTTGGCGCTGCGTCGCCGGACTCGGCGCTGGTGTCGGGGTTGTCGAGTTTCCTTAAGGCGTTTTCGCACGCCGCGCCATATTGCTCCTGAACGTTGCTCCACTCAATACGCGACGGCTGTGCAGACCACACGTCGGGCAGGAACAACACCACACACTCGAGCCTGGACTTGCCGCCGCTGCCTTCGCGCCAGTAGTAAAACTCCACCACTCGGTACCTGCGCGGGTAATACAGTTATAGTGCAATACTCACAAGCGCTCGGTCGCGCTGGCCGCCCCACTGCACACATGGACATGGACACATCCGGTAAGAGTGAATACAACAGCGCATTTGTAGGCTGGTGGTACATCTCAGCATCCAATTGGTTCCATCATGGGACGATGTACAAACGCCTTCATACTCTCACATAATGAATGTGTGCTGTACCATGACTTATATTAAAAACAATAGCCAAAAGCTTCTTATAGTAAAATACCTGAATGTAAGATGATGATGAAACTATCATTAAGTTGGACAAAAATAACAAAATACCGAAACTTTGGACCAGTGTTCATATCAAACTATGCAAACCAGAAGGACAAGTATTGGGTTGAATCACCAGTTTGCTGAAGTTACAATATAAAATTAAACTTACCATTGAGTGCAAGAGGATAAATCAATGCCTGTTAAGGCTTTGCAAGTGCGTATAGCAGTCTTCACCAGAACCTTAGGATCAGTCTGTGGATTTTCACCATCTAATGATGGACTCCATGGTCCCCCAATAGCAAAGTTTTCACCACCTTTTCCTTTTTGGCCAACAAGGAACTTGATAAGTCTTGTAGGATGTAATGGTGATTTGCTTGATCTTTTATCTTTTTCATCCACTTTTGTAAGTCCACATTTTTGATACAGAGTCTCTAGTGTTGGCATACTGATTAACATCACCTTAATAACAAAAATATGTCAGTATTTTGCATAATATAAATTGAAACTATTTCTTATATAATTTAACACAAGAATTTATTTGATAGTGTTACCTTAGCTGAAAATCTGTAGTCTGCATCTGGAGGCTCCAAAACAGCATCATTTTCTTTAGGATTCTCAATTTCTCGAGCCATGATGTGATATCCACATGGATTGTTTAATGAGAATGGATACTGTGGTGGGAATGTCTCACCCCACTTAACATTAGCATTGAAGAAATCAGAAGGTATGTACAAGTTACTATAGCGTTGAGATAAACCAGGAACATCAATTTTTTGGCTGAAAATTTATTATTTGTAAATATGTGTTCATTCATACATGATTAAACAAAATAAATCTAACATAGTATTGAATAGAATATTTACATGTCCAAAGGCATACGAGGTACTCGAACAACATATTTGAAGGGAGAAGGCTGGTGTACAACTGGACGTTTGCGGGGAGGTGAGTCCCTACGACTTCTGCTGTCTCGCCTTGAACGAGAACGGCTCCTACTGCGAGATCTCTTCTGCAATTTGATAAATGCCACATTAAAAAAATATGTAATTAACTAACAGCAACTTTACGTATCTAAAGTTATTTGCAGCTTATTAAAAAAATACCCAAGACATTCACTACAAAACATTCAAGGCTGAAATTGGAACTTTTTCTATCAGAATTTCCAATAATCTAAAAGTTATTAATAACATTAAAGAACTCTGTGTTAATTGTCTCATTTCATTTTGTTTTAGTACCAAATATTCTTTGATATGGTCCCAGTAGCATAATGATCAATGCATTTGCCTGGATTTCAGAGTGCTGGTTTGATTCCAGTTTTGCAGCTGTTATTAGTTTAATTGTATCTAGTAAAAATACTTTTTAAATATCTAGCAATCAATTGTATAAATAAAAATATAACATTAGAGATAAATATCAATCTTTCTTTGTACTAAAAACTGAAACAAAAGAATCATATCACTTACCCTTTCCTCTCGCCTTGGGGGACGTTCTTCACGACGTGGTGGTAATGACTTCTTGTTTGATGGGGGAGGGACTGCATTGTAAGAATTTGTCTTCTGGTTATTATTACTTTTTTGATTGGGGCCACTTTTAGGCAGGACTTGTACCCTAGTGGCATTCCATTTAAAAGGCATGTTTGGATTGTATGTTGCCTCAACCAGTACGCGATCATTGACTTTAGGAACAACACCTTTAGCGCAAACCGATGTTTGATAAAATACATCATGATCTACAAATCCGAAGTCATTGTGAGTCTTTGTAACAGTCCCAGTAAAGACGCGCTGTTCATTATTTGCTGAACCCTGGTTAGACTGTGAATTTTGATATAAACCAGGATTCATAGCACGTGGTGTAGGGTAAGCTACTACATTACCGGGATATATTTGACTTTGAGCCATTTGATTCATTGGCATTTGTCCTGCCATAGGCATAGCCATTCCACCTTGTGCTTGCATCATACCCGGATTGAATACAGCTGGTGTTTGTTGAAACTGCATCATGCTTTGTTGAGTCATCATTGCGTTTGGGTCCATGATTTGAGGATTCATGCCGGTCATATTTGTATTCACATTGGACCTGGCCCACGGCGGATTTTTCGTTCCGCTACCTGATTGCATTGTATTTTTTTTCTTTAACGTATTGTTTTCAAACAATCTATATAAATTTACTAAGGTTGCACTTTAAAATATTCTCACATCACCACGCAAAAATAAACCATGCACGATCAACTAACTAAAAAACTGACAATAAAGGAAGGAAGTGCCCTCTACAAAGATGGCGGGTGGCGGCGGTAGCGTTGTTTTTTTTTATGGCCCTGGCGATAGCATTGTTTTGATGGCTGTACGGAAAAAGTATCGATACTTTGTGGTAACAAGTATGTTATTTACTAATTATGTTAAAGAAAATTATGGCCTTCACTACTCACAGCCTATTATTATGTTCTTTGTCTGTGCATCGTGTTCTTGGCCTCCAACCCACTTCAACAGATTTTACTTTTGAGAATATAAGAGCACAATAAAAATATCGAATTTACTATAATTGCCCCTATAATTTAGAATTCTACAAAGAGTTATTTATTTATTTATTAGTTACCTCGATTTCTCTAGGAGCCCATCACACTTTGGCTTGGTGGATATGAAACCACACCGTGAGCATTACTTAAATCCGCATTAAATAAAAAAGTAGTAGAAGCGGCAGGTATGTCAGTAGTCTGCTTTAGCGAACCACGTACACACTATGCATTTTGGTTCCAGTGCATGCAATGGTTACGGTTACAGCTCGCAAAAGAGTACCCGGCTATACAATTTACTAGTATAAGTCTAAGGCTAGGCTCTAAGGCTTGTCAGAAACCAGGAAACCGTGCATATGCTGATAAGAAAAAGATAAAATTTCAATAATTAACGGAAAAACGTAATCGAGAGCCGGAACAAACTGGTGTCGAAAGTTGAGACTTTGCTCAGCAAAGTATCAAATTAGGGACTATTTAATCAAGTCCTATTTAACCCAACGAAGACACATGTATACACGTTTACCGCAAAAAATATTATTTGTCGTATCCCAACTTTCGTATCGGTAGTATCGGTATTATTGGCTTTGACATATCGAGTGACATCCAATTCCGAGTTCATCTGGAGGGCAAGGCCAAATTAGCCTCCAAGAAGCTTTGTGTGCTCATTAGATCTAGAGGGTACTTCCCACCGGCCCACCGACTACAACTTTATAAAGCACAGGTTCGGCCTGACATGGAGTACTGTTCTCATACTTTGTTCACATTCTTTGGGCGGGGGCACCCCAGTACCAGCTTCTCCCTTTGGATCGCATCCAGCGCCAAGCGTCCTTTGACTTTGCGTAGAGATCTAGCTTCGCTCAGCATCTATCGCATTTATTACGAGGAGCGTTCAGAGGAATTGTTCGGATCAGTTCGGATTAATACGAGGTGCTGCTTTTCCTTGTCGTCCATCGCGACAAAAATTTCATCCCCACCATCTTGAACATATGGCCTGTTGGATATTAAAAAGGATAGGAATATGTTTCAGCCATAAACTATGTTGCGCAAGCCCCAACCTGCAATGACTTTTTTGATTAAAAAAAACCACATAATGTGTATTTTTTATACCATCAGAAAAGAGATTCCAAAGAACAAAAAGAGCCAAACTTATTTAAAAATCAACTTTTTGATGGGCGATTTTTTGATTGAATATAAGATTACTTTTTCAATTTCATATCAATATATGGGGGACAAATAAATATTTTGAATTGAAACAAATTGAGTGAGTTTAAGATATAGGAAGGTTAGTTTTCAACAAATTTCGTGAGAAAAAAAAAATGGTTGCCTGTAAAGTCGGTTTTACGGGCGAAGATTTTACGTGACAACGTCTTTTTCTCGGTAGAATATTTATTGATATGAATATAATTAAATTGCACAATAGGAACAAGGAATTGAATGAAAATAAGAATTGCACAAATTTTAACTATAGAAATATATTTTGTTTACTAAAACATTGTACATGTAAACTTAAACTTAACACGAGAGACTCATCGTAACGTTACCGAGCGTTACACTTTTTCATAAGTGACTCCCAGCCGCAACCTAATTTAAGACGTTGTCACGTCAAAAATGTTTAATATAAAACCAAAAATTATGACGTTTCACACAGATATTTTTTGGATATGTGAAAAAACTATAAATACCAAATTCAAAAAATTCAAAATTTCGTTTATTCAGTCTAGGCTGTTACAAGCACTTGTGAATGTCGAAAAGCTAAGCCATCGGTTCGCAAATCTAAGGCGGGAGACCTTGTACTGAGAAGAACCGGCAAGAAACTCAGCAAGGGCTGCTTTTTTCTCCCTGTTTTATTTCATACAAGTGTCGTCCAATTGAAAGTTGACATCAAACTTGCAAACATGTGTTGAGGTCAACTTCCATCACATAATGTCAAATATGTAACAATAGACAATCAACGAATTTACTAACAATAAGTGCAAAGATAAGTCCCAAAATAGCAAGAAACAATTTTCAAAACAAAATGAACAAGTATATGAAAGGGAGTAAGTGCAAGGTTCTCTTACCTTAAGCCTTAGTTTTAATATAACTTTTGAAAAATTATCTACAGGTAAAATTACAACCAGGCCGTTTTATCATTCAAATATTGATTGGCAGTATAATATTCTTTCTTAAGTAAACAATTCTTAATGTGTATTTTTATGAGGAGGCAAATCAAGGATATCAATAGGAATCTTATTATAGAAATGTATACCTTGACCCATAAATGATTTATGAACCTTCTGTAACCTGTAATTTGGTATCTTAAGTTTATTTTTATTCCTTGTATTAAAAGAATGTATGTCACTGTGTTTGAAATAATAGTTAATATTGCTTCGAACAAAAAGTATGCAATTATAAATGAATTGAGAAGCAACAGTCAAAATCCCGATTTCTTAAATTTTTTCTCTAAGAGATGTTCTAGAAATAAGTTGATAAATAGCCCTTATAGCTCTTTTTTGCAAGATAAATATAGTTTCAATATCGGCTGCTGATCCCCAGAGAATAATACCATAGGATACAAAACTATGAAAGTAAGTAAAGTATACAGTTCTAGCAGTAGCTACATCAGTAAGTTGTCTTATTTTACGTATGGCATAGGCTGCTGAACTAAGTTTACCAGCTAGCAGAGAAATATGAGGATACCGTTGCAATTTCGAGTCTATGGTTATACCTAAGAATATCGTTGATTCAACTAAATCTAGGTTTTCATTGTTTAATTTAATTCTAATGGTTTCGCTTCAAACATTAGGTAAAGTGAATATAATGCATTTGGTTTTATTTGCATTTAATTTTAAGTTATTTACATTAAACCAGTGCAATACTTGTGAAAGAGCATTATTTACATCGTCGAAGTTATTCTTGTATCGGTCAACCTTAAATAGTATAGAAGTATCATCAGCAAACAATACGATCTCACACAAATTTTCCACAAAAAATGGCAAATCGTTTATGTACAATAAAAATAGAAACGGACCTAAAATTGATTCCTGGGGAACGCCCATTTTCACATAAGATCCAGATGACTTAACACCATTTACCTCTACAGTTTGAACTCTGGAACTGAGATACGATAGTAGCAAGTTTTGGGCTGCGCCTTTGATTCCATAGTGATTTAATTTTAACACCAGCGTCTGGTGCTCAACGCAGTCAAACGCCTTGGATAAGTCACAGAATACCCCAAGAACATTCTGCGACTTCTCCCAGGCTTCCATTATATGTCTAATAAGTGCAACACCCGCATCCGTTGTTGATCTACCCCTTGTAAAGCCAAATTGATTATCATATAATAGTTTGTTCAAACTGACATGCGATAATAATTGATCTAAAATAATTGTTTTCGAAAATTTTACTTAATACCGGTAATATTGATATAGGTCTGTAATTACCGGGATCATCTCTCACGCCGTTTTTGAAGAGAGGGATAACTTTACTATATTTCATAAGGTCTGGAAAATCACCTTGATCAATACACTTATTGAATATATCTGCAAGATAAGGAGCGATAACTGTTATTATACTTTTAGTAATTTTAATAGACATTCCAAATAAATCACACGTATTTTTCTTTTTAAGTGAGTTAAAGCATTTTATAATATCCATAAAATCAACATGTTTAAACGTAATCAGGTTATTACACCGAGGCACACACGTCTCTAGCAAACTCCTAGCACCCGCTGGCGTCGAATTCAAATTAGAAGTAGTAATTAATGGTATATTAACGAAATATTCATTAAAAGTATTGGCAATCTGTTCTTTTGTTTTAATTTGAATATTGTCTACTTTAAGTGCGATCCCGTCATCGAGGGTTCTTTCTTTACCAGTTTCTCTATTAATAACATTCCATGTCGTTTTAATTTTATTATTAGATTTTTTGATTTTATTTTTTATGTAATTGGATTTGGCTGTTGCACATACACTTTTGAATGTTTTTGAGTACCTTTTAACATAATCAATGAAACCCTGAGAATGATTGTACTTCCTTAAGTAGTACAAATCATAAAGTTTATTTCTGCTCTTATAAATACCAGTCGTAGCCCAGTCACAGAAGTTCAACTTTTGAGTTAATTTCAAAGTTTTAAGCGGAAAAGCCTTATCAAATTCTTTCTTAACCAAAGTGAACATATTGCCGTAAAGAATATTAGGATCCTCATGTGTCCATGCCATTTGAAACATTTTATCATCAATATTGTTTTGAAAAATTTCTAAACGTTTATTTGTTACTGGTCCTAATTCAATGAATTTGGGCTTAGTAGTGTCATTTGTATTATATGTTATTTTTAAGCCGTAATGATCTGATGTGATACAATTAATAATTGATTTACTAACTGGATTATTATAGGTAATAGGTAATCAAAAGATCTACAACAAAAGTTGTAGATCTTTTGATTACCTATAATTTTTTCATAAAATATTATTCGATAGAAGTTGTGGTTTTCCCGAAAATAGCTATAAATCGTTTCCCCCATAGATGAATGATTGGTCTCGCTTCACTTATGTGATACAATTAATATGGTTTCCCCTTTAAAAAAGGTCACCCACCCTTCCTGACCTCAAATCGCTGACCGTAATTTACTTTGCCCCCTTTTGATGAGATCTCTTCGTTTTGGTATGGGTTTCAACATGTTCTGAATTTTTTTTGCTCCCAAAAATTACTATCGTACCTGGTCTATATTTTTGAGGATCATTTTTAATGTTTCTCATTTAAATTCTGCTACGCGTGTATGGACAGGTACTAGTGTAACAATTTATCTCTTTTATTCAAAAGAAGCCTGACGATATTATATATATATAACACACACAGAGCTAGTGCATGAGGCATTCTTTAAGGTGTGCTGAAATATTAGACAGGTTTTAATTTTTACTCGGGAGGGTTAAGCACATCTGCTACATCTTTTGGCGCGGCTCGCCTCTCACATGCTCTCACAGACACAGGACTCACAGTGTCTCAGCTCAGTTATCACTAGTCGGCTGAGCACGGTTGTCGTTTCAGTCGAAACGAAAACTAAACGAGAGCGCAGCATGAATCGCGATGAAAGTTGTAGGGGAAAATATTTTCCTCGACGCATAAACATTCAATCGTTGTGAAAAAAAGACTGTTTTAACGGAATGACGTGTTGAATTCTTAATTTAGCGAAATTAAAAACATTTATATATTATGTAGAATTTCAAGGAGTGATATTTTGGTACTTAATGATGGGCAACGTGCCAGATCAAATGGAAGTTCTGTTTGTATGCAATGATAGTGCAGAGTAAACATTATAGTGGTTTTGATTAACAGTGGCTAAACATTATGATCGATGAGAGGTAATGCGAACAACATTTACAGGTGCGCGCGATTGTGTTTACGTCTGGTAATGAGTTCGATAGTTCGATATGAGTGTAAATTCGGATTGTGCGCCTGACCTTCAGGAAGGCGAGGCTCAACGTGTGTCGAGCAGGGGTCGTCCCTCGTCCCCAAGCAAATCGGTGGCAGCTGTGCTATGGGACTGGTTACAGCCACTAGCAAGACTGTGGGGTCTCATAACGGCCGTCGGTTAGTATAATAATGTCTTGTAATAGATTACTGTATTTACACAATATGTTGGACATAAAAAATCAATTTGCAAGTTTCCATTACACACACACACACAACCGACACGTAAAAGTAAATAAAAGCTTGCAAATTCCACGTAAATAGTGTTGGGTAGGACACGACTTGAAAAAGAGTTTGTAAGAGTAGCCTCTTTTTTGTACTGAGCCAGTACAATGTCCCACTTCAAATGAGGCGAGGTGTACTGAAGCTCGGCAATACATTTGAAGTGACGAGTACAAATATGACATTGAGGCGTACAGAAGCTCGACATTACGTTTGTGTGCACGAGTAGCACCTCCTCTACGCACTATCAATCTTGCTGGATCCAGCATGCAGGACAGCGCTATACACGTAAAAGAGATAGAGATACAGATGGATAGTGCGTAGAGTACTTAAATGAAATGTCATGCCTCGCTCTCTCTCTCTCAGACTTACTAAGAGTGAGTGGGTAACGAGACGCGACTATCGCGACATTTAATGTGAAGTAGTACATTTTAAAATTTTGAGCCGCTCTTACATTTTGACGTTATGTCCGGGACAAATGTACCGCCTCTTGTAAGTCCTACTCAACACTACACGTAAACGCAAACATTTTATTGTACTTGACACGCTTTTAAACTTTCGCGTTCAATAATAAATTTTATATGTATTTTACGGGTTATAACGCGCACATAAACAGGTACGTATTTAAACGGTTTTCAAACTTTTTTAAAAATTAAGTAATCTTAATCAATAGCTCAAAATTTCAATAAAATGAAGACGAAGAAATCAAATGTGATTAAAAAGTTTCAAGGGCTATAACGGTTAGATAATGAAATCCAGAATGTTCATTACTTTTAAACATGTAAATTCAATCAACATTTCAAAAATGCAATGTAAAATGGCTTTTTCTTAATCATACGTTACGTAGTCATACTTACAGGTACCTACTGAGAGAAACGGAAATGCAGTGGATGTTTACTGGGAAATCTGGTAATATAATATGGTAGAGTCACTTACAATTTTTTACCTGCCACCTCAACGATATCACATTTGGTAATGGTTGGGTTTAAATTGCTATTCAGAAATAATAGTGACTATAGTATGTAGTGGCACGCTATGATAGCCGTTTTGACTTTTGTTCGCCCATGAAGTTTTATATTCGAAATTAGTTCTGCATTTAAAATAAATAAATATTATATTTTATTTTCATTAGGGACGCGCATTTAGTCATAAAATTTATCAATCATAATCATAATAAAAATCATTTATTCAGTTTAGGCTGTTACAAGCACTCATAAATGTTTAGAAGCTTCGCCATCGGTTCGTAAATCTACGGTGGGAGAAGAACCGGCAAGAAACTCAGCAAGGGCTGTTTTTTTCTCCCTGTTTTATTATTTACAGAGTCTTCAAATCGATATCGAATCGGTAATATTAGGGCTTAGAATTTTTTTTTTGAAAGGCTGTGTTTTCTCTCTTTCGAGCTTAAAATAATTCAATATAATGAAAAAAAAAACACTTAATATCACCGGCCATTTGAAAAAAATTTTAAAGGTGTAAGTAAAAAAAATTGATTGTGTTATTCGTCGCCACTAATATATATTCAATAAAACGGCGAAAATTAATTAATTATAGCTTAATTAAATATAGCAACGTACAGCTTGGTTGGAACCGCAGACAAGAGAAAGGGAGCCAGGCGTAGACAATTGGTGATACCACAGTTATTATTAATAAAATAAAAATTATATTATACTTAAAAAAAATATTGTGTACTTGTACCAAATATCTCTACCCTTTTATTATTTGTCTATGGTCTTGGTCAGTCTTGGCGTTCTTTTAATCGTTTTAATGCTGCCTTCGTAAGAAACTATCATCAGGCGTCAAATGGCCAGGTATAATACAGAGTTATTCCTTTTGTTACACTGTCCCCCACTTGACCCTAAGTATATACCGCAACCCATCGCCTTGGTTATATAAAAAAACACACCAATTAAAAAACTCACTTCAATTATAATACGTAGATCGACACCAATTATATTTGTGTTGATCTACGTATTCTTTGTCAGAATTTTACTTTTTGCGCGAGAAGAAATGTAAAGTTAAAATATGACTCAATACGAAAAATATTTTTATGTAATTAGTGCGGCAAGTATGATGTTTGAGACGCTCGTGGTTTTTCAGCCTTCGCTGAGTTACCCTTCAACTTTCATACTCGCCGGAAAGAGCTGCGCACGCATCTCACACACCACACCACACACACACACACGCACACACGCAAACACGCACGCACGCACGCGCACGCGCACGCACACACACACACACACACACACACACACACACACACACACATATATATATATATATATAGCCGTGAGACGTTCGTGACGCATTTCCGTTTCATCTTTTCCATAAGAATTTTCCATTTTGGGATGGGGTGGTGCAAAAATAAGTTTCACTTCAAAAATAAAACCTTAAAGGATACGCACGGCGCCATGTATGGGAGCGGTAACTATGATAAATAACTATTGTTAAAATTGAAACTAAGTAGGTATATCAAACAAAACAAACTCTTGAATAGTTTCAAAAACACGTTTTATGTAACATTAGTAATCTTATTTTCAACCACTACTGTTTGTGTTGTGTTGTTGAAATTACAGCTTTTATGACGCATGACGAATTTTACTTAACGTAATATTTTCCTAACGCTTCTTAAATGTGCTTCGATGTCGTTATTTTTTTATCCTCTATCTTTTTCGAAAAAGTTCGCGATAAAACCAATCAAATATCTCGAAGTGGCATTCTGTGATAGATAATTACAATGTGTCAAAGAAATTAAAAAGTATTAACTGGTCTGAGTTCCAATTTACAAAGATCCAATTGTATTATATAAAAAAATAGTCTTTACTTTTAAGAATATTCACAAGGAATCTACTTTCCAACGAATATGAACAAATAAACGTAATTCTAATGTATGGGTAGATAAAAAATTGCAAAACATGATAGAAAAGAAAGATAAGTTATTTAGAATTTGGAAACAACAAACAAAAAGTAATATTTTAAGGTTAGAATATACTAAGCATTTTTTTTATGTTATTTATTAAGGGACAAAAAACGGTTACAATACGTGTTTTATGACTAAAGACTAATATGTACCATGGTTCCGTAAAATCTAAGGTAATGTTGTAACCCACACGATTATCCACAAATTATTAAATAAAAATAGAGCCATGCTGATGTTACATTCAGTGAGAATAAATTGTTATAATCCTTATGCTTAATTATAATTTTAACAAACAAAAAGTAATTAAACATTTTTCATTAACTAATCGGTAATATTTTATATATATTTTATCACTACATCAAAAATAAAAAAATAACTACACTAAGCGAGTTTAATACATATAAATACAGATGCTATGTCTCTCTATGCAATATTTTAATAACATCATACCTAAATTTATATTTTGTTTTTGAAAATATATCCACTTCTGCAAACAAAGTATTGTAAGTTTCAGCCATTCTATATAGAGGACAACGTAGCCCTGTATTGTTCGACAAATTTTAGTGGCAAATAAATTAATATTTTTGAGCTTGCGGATGTTAACGGTTCGAGGCACTTTGTAACTTATTTTATTTGTAATATCACTACAATCAAATTCGTTATTAACAATGCCATGCAATACTGTAACTTCTAGATATTTGCGTCTATCCTCTAGAGTCATCATATTATATTTGCTTAGCAACTGGGGAGCTGACAAATAACGCCGAAAACACCTGTAATGCATAGCACGTAGATATTTACGTTGAACTCTCTCGATCTCCTCCTTGTATTTGTCGTAAAAAGGGTTCCAAATAGTTACAGCGTATTCAAGTTCTGAACGTATTAGCGCTTTGTATAAGCTCAGATAGGTTGATACACGTTTAAATTCCTTCGTGGACTTCATAACAAATCCGAACATTTGAAATGGCTTTTTTTCTTTTTTTTTTATACATAGGTCCGACAAATGACTCCACCCCACCTGATGTTAAGTGAAGGTAAAGTCCAGACGCGAAGATAGCTGATACAGCAGTTCTACCTGCCACACCAGCCATCCTCACCCTGCCGGCCTGCATGTTGCTTCTTCACGCCTCTTTTAAAGGATCCCAGGTTGTAAGAGGGAGGGAACACGTAAGCGGGCAGAGCATTCCATTTACGGATAGTGCGATAAAGAAATAAGTCACCAAATTTCTTTGTACGCGTTGAAATTGTGGCCACAGTAAGATGGTCACAACGTAGGCCAGCGCGCGTGGTCCTCTGAAGGAAAGAGAGAATAACTCCTCAGAACACTCGCCGTGGTACAAACGATAGAACGCGCTTAGTGACGCTACGTCATGGCGTAATTGAAGAGGCTCGAGGTGTTTAGTCACCTCCTCATCGCCTATGATGCGGATCGCGCGCCGCTGTAACCTATCCAAAGCATCGAGCAAGTACTTGGCGGAGCCATCCCAGAGGTGCGAGCAATATTCCACGCAGGCGTTTTGTACAACAAGCACAGTTGATCGGGCGTGAAAAAACGCCGCACCTTGTTCAGGACGCCGAGTTTGCGTGAAGCTGTTTTGATCACGGTTTCGATGTAGTCCTTTGGATTCAGGTCTGAGCGAACTTCCATACCGAGCATGGAAATGTTGCTCTGCAGCGGTAGTGCTGTGCCCTGAAGAGATGGAAGGGGAAGGAATGGCGATGTTTTTGCCGTGAAAGCGCAAGCCTGAGTTTTCTTGGCATTGAACTCAACCAAGTTCCTGGTACCCCATTCGGATATGTGGTCCAAAGCATGATTGAGTTCAATGACAAGATTTTCCGCTTTCTCCTTGGTTACTGCCTGCCCAGCCGCTGCTTGTCCGAGATACCCCGCATGCACTGTACTATCGTCTGCATAGCAATGAATATTCCCAAGAGGAATCAAGTCATTGATATGCAGCAGAAAGAGAGTGGGGGATAGGAC